TAAGTACATGTAATCTGGTTGTACCTTCAGGGTTGATAGTGTCAATAAAGTTACTGAGGAGTATTATCAGTAAGTGGAGGTGGCAGTGAGAATACAATAGTAGTCACCATGACATACCACAATGCCAAATTTTGTCCATTTTCAAGAGAAGTCGCTACTAGTTACTTTTAAATTTTTCTTTGAACAGTCAGATCTCAATTTACCTGAAAAAAACCCAAAAACAATTCAGTTATTAATAATAAGAGTTGAAATTGATGCAAGATTTCATAACTCTTACATCAAACCTTTATAGTCAGCCAATGAACTTTTCAGCCCACCCCCATACTTGTCTAAAACTTTGAACAATGCTATGGTTTAACCTTTTGAACTTTTGTTTAGATCATAATTCATCAGATGACTTATCTTTGTAGAATAGATAATCATGAACTGAACTTGTTGTCAGCTACTTTGTGTGTGTATCTAGTCCCCCAATTGACATATGGACACTACCAAAGAGAAATAAAAATGCCCACTAGATGCACAAACAATATCAATCAAATCCTGTAGAGATCAACTAGAATTATGATACACAAACACACAAGAATTATACACTACCTGACAAGACAAGTACATGTGAGTCTACTTAACCAATGAAAAAGAAACAACACAAACATTTAAAAAATAACAGAATTTTCTTTTCTTCTTCATATTTCATTTCTAAAGAAAATTAAATAAAAGCAAAATGTGTTAAATTTAAAAATGTTTTCTATTTGTTTCTTATCTTTTCATTCTGTCAGATATTTGGTATTATATCCATATTTGAGCCCAATTTTATATTAGAGAGAGTGTGTAAATTAATACAAACACTATTTAAATTACAAAATGTTTTAACCAGGAATATAAAGTCTTGAACACTATAAAGAAAATATAAAGAAAAAAAAAAGAAAACAGGTTCTGTTATATTTACCTCTTGCCTAAAGAAAGATTTTAATATATATTTTTTTTAGTTTTATAAGAAATGAATATTGAAAATAAAATCTCTTGTATTTATTGAAACAATGTAGACAAGAGAAAATTTTACACAAAATGATTTGTGATTTGTTCTTATTTTACAAACAGGAAAACACTGTTTCGTGCTTTAAAGTTGTCTTCAATTGATTTACTTTTTATTTATACAAATGAACTTTGTAGAAAATTTTTTATTTGCTTATACAATCTCTTATAAGACAAATGTATGAAAAGATTTTCCAAAGTTAATTTTTAATTTTGAACCTTGAATAAAAGCAAAATAACATTGTGTACATGTTATAAGACATGATGTTTTGGAATTGGGCAAGTCACCAAATAGTTCATTGTGTTGGTATTATGGATAGGAAATTGACTATTGTAGGTCTGAATTGTACTGCTCAAAGGTCTGAAGGATGAGTTGTGTGTAGTAATTTCAAATATGTTCTTGTAAAATCTTATAGACTGTTTCCATAACTGTAAAATTGTAATGAAATTGGTATTATTTCCAAGATAGTAAATGAAAAGCAAATTGTTTTTATTCCTTTACAATAAATTTCAGGGAAATCCCATGAATGATATTCTTTTCTCATTAAAATTTTTTAATTCAAGTCAATTCAATATCAGAAATCAAAAATTTCTCAATGCTAGGATTTTTTTTTGTTAGCTTTTCTACTTCACCCACAATTCCTGTCATAAGTGGAAAAGAAAAAAGAGAGAGAAGGGGTAATGACTTAGTTTTTATTCTAGATAATTGCATGGGTTCAGCTGCTATGGTGAATAATCTTTTGGATTTATATAAAGTGTTGAATGTTCTCTGGTCTAAATCCAGAAAAGATCATAAAATGAAGAGAACAACATAAAATATCCATTTTGTTTCTTGCTTGGCTTTCATATGAGTGATGAGATTTTTCTTAAAAGTTTAAATCAAAAATAGTTGTGACTTGTGTAATATATGAATTATTTTGCTCCAGAATGCAGGACTGTTTATCTAAAATATTGTTTGTACAAATTTTCAATTAATTTTTAAGAAGCATCACCAGTGAAAATGTCATGGTACTATAAAGGACAATATATTTATATTTGTGCAATTGTTGAAATGATTCAGTTTTTGTAGAGAATGCATAAGCTTGTCATGTGTATATAGAATAAACACTTAGTTGAACAAGAGATTTTAATTTAAGAAAAGGATGAATGAGAGAAATCTGATCTAGAAACTTTATATAGCAAACTAATGGTGGGTAAGTGAGTAAGAAAATGGAAAAAAAAAATCCTATGCTCCTTTGGAAGCACTTCTTCAGACCAAAAGAGGAAACAGGATTTTTTTCCCATTTTTTATTTTTTTATTTTTTTTTTATTGATGGAATCATATATATAGTAGGCAGGAACAAAATGCAAACAAATTTCAATTATAATTCTACATACAAGAGAAATACTGAAAATACAGGGATGCATAAATTTTAAATTTCTAACATCCAATGTGTCTAGATGCACAACCTAGCTAGCTTCAATCAGGCTTTCTACCATGTTTGTTTTTATCGCTATTGCATATATGATAAATACATATGTAAAAACTGGAATTGTAAAACAAATTTTCTCCACATGGCTCAATGGATTCAACTATATCTGTTAAACATCAATGTTTTTTATTGAGATTAAATTGTCAATTTAAACTGGTTTAACTTTTGTAATTGGAAAATCCTTATAAGCAGAGGTGATGATATATATGTAAATAACCTTATCATTTTAATCCTGTATTATAATCATTTAAGTATATTACTGCCAAATTTCTTTTTTTATTTTTGTAGTGAAGAAAAAAAAAACAAAATTAGCATGCATGTATTGTGGTGGATTTTGGAAATCAGCAGAAAAAACCCAACAGAGGCATCTTAATGTTATTCATTCAAATGGCTTCACTGCATATATACTTGTCCATGAGGCAGGAAGCTTTTAATCCTTGTGGAATAACAAACTTGCTCACAAAAAAAGTAGTTGATGTTTGTTTATTCATAATGCTTTGCATTGTTGTAGACAGCGGCTTGATTCATGTTGGTTGGTAGTTCAAATTACAAAGACCATTAGTTTGCATTGATTGGCCATTTTGACGCAACTTTACAGTCATTATTATTAGCAAATCTATTTCTTGGTCACTCTAACATGAAGTTACTTCTTTGATTTTTGCCCTGTGCTTTAATTCACAATTATAACTTACAAACGTGTATTGGCATAGCTGGGTTAATTTCCATGATGATTAACTAAACGTGGAAATCTAACTCCCAAGCACTGCACTGAAAATAAAAAAAATCTAGAGTTCTTACTAATTTAAAATGATAGTTTATAACCTATCATATAGAATTTATTGTAGCTGAATTGCAGTTTTCAAGATCAAAATTTTCAGGAATTTTACATTTCCATATTCAAACTTTGCACAATTGCAACTTTCAAGATTTTTAACCTTTACAGATTCTATTTAAGGATTTCAGTAGTCAAGGGATAGTGTTGTAATCCTGGTTAAGTTAGGTAAAAAAAAAAAGCAGGCAGACTCACCAGAGTTCCATATAGATGGCTTAAGGCTATGAAGAAAGAAACCAAACCTACACTGAAGATCTGTGCCACTGCCAGAGACGAGATGGAAGCTGCATAAATAGTGGATATACATTTATGTAGTGGACTCCAGGTGTGATAAGGACCACATGCTTTGTCTGAAGAATTGCCTCTTCTAAAAAAGGCTGTCCGGTCAGATATTAGAACTTCCTCAGAATGCTAGTTGATTAATCTATTGACAGTGAGGTGGTCAGTGTAGGGAAGCAAATTGGAGATGGACATCACTCACTATGACTGCACCCACTAATTAGTATATGCAATTTGCTGTCTGATGACCATTAGACTCATAAGACTCTGAGAATGTAATGTGTTAGCTTGAAACTGTATTCTTCAAGAGGTGACCTCTGGACAAAATTCTCATGGACAATTACATGGCATTCAGCAGCAACATTTGTGGAGTTTTTATGTATTTTCAATGAACACCTGTGTCTTTCAGAAATGGCATCACAGAACAGTCCCATAGAAATGTGAAGAGAATTACTGTCAGGAAGCCATGTATCGGTACATTGTGACACTAATGTTCTCCACTCAATACAAGTTCCAGCTAAAGAGCATTGACAAAATACTTCTGCTGAGACCTGAGCCAGAGCACAAAGCATATAAGAAAAAGAACACTATTATTTTGTGATTATTTACTTAGTCTGGTACGAGGCTACTGTAGTGGAGCACCTAGTGAGTATTAAACTCACCACCCTTTTGAATGTTGTTTTGAAACTACTAACCATTGTATAGAATGCTGTTATTGATTTTGTCTTGAAAACTTAAAAGAAAATTTGATAAGTTGAAATTGGCCACTTCACCGAAATAAGATTGGGTCAGTGTTATCTATTCACCAATCTTTTTTTTTTTTTTTTTTTTTTATAAAGAAATGCCAGTGAATAAGAACTCTTCATAAACACACAATCATGAACACTTGATTGTCCTGAGCTTCTAGAAGAATGCAAACACTATAACTTTGACCTTACCCCAGGATCTATTGGGATCAGTGAATGAGAAACATTGTTTGCACTTGTCTTCTAAGAAATGATTACCAAAGAGCACTGTATATAAAGACACACTTAATTTTCAATAAAATGTCTCTTTACTTTTTTTTTTTTTTTTTTTTTTATGTATTTTGTAACCTTTCTAGGTTTTCAATTCTCTTAGATGAGACAAACAATTTTCAATTATTTTGATCAAACCAACTTGGAAAATAAAATATCTTTGTATCTTTATTTTCTTTTTCAGATAAAGTCTGATGCAAGAGTGAAACCATGGATAAATATGAAAATTTAGGCATTGTTGGGGAAGGAAGCTATGGAATGGTTTTGAAGTGCAAACACAAAGATACAAACCAAATTGTGGCTATCAAAAAGTTTTTGGAGAGTGAAGATGATAAACTTGTGAAAAAAATTGCTTTTAGGGAGATTAAAATGTTGAAGGTGAGTCACTCTTAGTCTCATATGGGAATGTCATTATTTCCAAGGATAAAAACCTGTTTTCAATCAGTTTATTTGAATTGACAGTCACATCTAATAATTGCTTCAGTGATACTTGGATCATTCTTGATTTTCCATAATAAATGACATGATTCCTTTAGCTCCTTCTCTCTCTCTCTCACACACACACACACACATATATATATATATATATATATATATATAGAGAGAGAGAGAGAGATAGAGGCTGCGATTGGTAAATTGTCGCCATTTTATATTTTTAATTTGTGTATTGTTTGTTTTTGGTAACTGCACAACACAGTAGGGTCAGTTTGACACTGTGAGAAAAAGAGCACCATTATGCAATTCACTCTGCCAGAAATTTGAAAATGAACATTTCAGAGTGTTTGTGTGTCAATCAGGGGACAGTGCAGAGGAGACTGTGCCCCTGAAAGATTAACTGAGAGTGATGAAAACTAAATATCCAGGCAACATCCTGGTGTTTGGAGTGATCACTAGTGTTGGCGACATTATGTCTCCATTCATCTTCCCACAGGACCTCAGACTCAACATGGAGACCTACATCAAGTGCTTTGAGGAGGTAGTGCTGCCTTGGGTCAAGAGGGTGGCTGCTGGAAGACTCTATGCCTGGCAATAGGACTCTGCATTTCAGCTGCCTTCTTTTCATAGGGTTGCTTCCAAGTATTTGAAACTGGACACTTTTTCCAGTGGTTCATCATCCACAGTGATGCTGGCACTGGTGTTGCTTGTGCTATTCACCATTACTTTGGATTTCTCTGTGTTAAGGTCCATTATAAATGCAGCAATTCTTTCAATGATTTTGTTGGTCAGGTCGTGCAGTTCATAGTTACTTCCTGCCATAATGTCAATATCATCTGCAAAATGCAGGTTGCATACAGATCTATTACTTATAGATAGAAGTATTGTGGTCATGGAGGGTTTCCTTAGGAAAAGCAGACATTATTTATGGAGTACTTATTTTGATTCTCACTGTGTGACACATTACAAGGATCTTCAACCAAACTAAACTCATCATATAAGTCTACATATGTGAATATGTGTGTTTGTGTATGTCCTTTAAAGCTTGAAATGTTATCACTGCCATGTTTTCAGCCAAAAAACATGTTCAATGCAAATTTTGTAAATTAAAAAATTAAATTCTTTTTAGATAAACTCCAAGTATTGAAAAAAATTATCATAAATTACTTTTTCTTTCTTCTTTTTTTTGTTGTTGCAATCTCAGCCAAAATAGTAGAATAAAAATTGACAAAGAGGAAGAAATTGACTTGAACAAATCAATGTATAATAGTAAAAATGCCTTTCCTCAGAAATTCAGAGAAAAAATATTACTGAATTTTGTGTCTGAAATATTTGAAAAGAATCCTTGTTCTTTCATGATTTGTTTGTACGAATCTCTTTATTGATGTCGTCATCAATAGAATCAGTTGAGAATATTTTAATCAATTTATGAAATCTATTAACTGTTCAGAGTAATGAATTAGTAATAAAATCAATAAATTTTCAAAAAATAAATCACTTATTGTCAAAATGAAAGTTATCCACTGGGGGGAAAAAGATTTTCTTTTTATTCTTAATTTCAATTTGTTTTGACAATTTCTTTTTCCTTGTTTAAACAGAAAATTTAGAAAAAATGTACAAGTTGCCCATTATGATTTTAGGCTTTGAAACAACTGACAAATTAGCTAATCAATGTTTGTCTTGCAATTTGGTTGGTTCTGCTGACTGATGAAAACTTTGTATATGTCAGTCTTTTGGAATTCCTCTTAAGTAATATATTAACCAAACTCATTATTTTCCAAAGGTTATCTCCTGAAGTTTTAGTTTCGCTGATTGCAATTTATACTTCAGAATATTGTTTGAATGAATGACATGTAACTACAACTTGTTGCACACAAACAAAATTACATTGACACTTTACATGCTTTTCAAGAAATAATGTAGCATGGCTTGTTAATTTGGATTGGATTTTCATGGCAGGGAGGATCTGGGCAGGGGTATTATGTTTCTTGATCCACAGCTGGACAAATAGCAAAGAGTACATTATGTAAAATTTATTTTTAGATTTTCAGATAATGTCACAATACCAGAAGAATTAAAATGTTATCTTTAAGTAGTTTACCTTTCATATATTTTCTCTCCCCTCTACTCCCCAAACTTTTTTTGCATCTTCACTGAGGATTTAAACTGAAACAAATCCATTTTTGTTAGGATTAATACTGAAGTGGGACTCTTAATTAAAAATAAAAATCATTTCAAAATTTTATTGAAAGTGAAAATGGATGCACACTTACTTGGATTGGAGAATTGGAGAGCCGAGTTCGAATTCCAGTCAAGTTTGTTGCATTCACTTAAGTGCAAATACCCTTGGGAAAGGTAGGAATCAATCTCTTCTTCCCTCAGACAAGGTCCTGTAGCCTTGGGTGGGAACCACTCTAGGAGAACAACAACTCTGAATTCAAAACCTTCAACTATGGCCAAGTTTGGTGAGTAAGGCTACATCCCTGAAGCCATAGTCAATCAGGGAGAGGTTCTTCATACAGGAGTGAGAAGGCTCTGGATCTGGATTTGAAAAATTAGACAAAAATTCAGTCAAAATATCTTTGAAAAATTGTATAGTGTTCATTTATAATGCTAATTTATTTTTCAGTTTATCTAAATTCCTGAATGTTTTCTAAACAGATATCTTCATTTGAAATCAGTTTTGTTTCACATTTCTTGCAGTAAAGTAAACTTTAATTTTGACTAGAAATTCAAATAATTTGGCTTTAACTTCTCTCTTAATAAAGTCAAGTCTAAATGAAATTGAAATGTCTTTTGTGTCTTTTATGTTGAATCTTGAACTGAACTTGTATTGTTGATTTTCAGATGTTAAGACATGACCACTTGGTTAACCTTATTGAAGTGTTCAGGAGGAGGAAAAGATTGTACTTGGTCTTTGAGTTCATGGATCACACAATCTTGGATGAATTGGAGAAATTTCCACATGGACTAGATGAGATGTTTGTTCGCAAAATTTTGTGGCAAGTCCTAAAAGGAATTGAATTTTGTCATTTACATAATGTGAGAAACTAATGATTTCTTAATTTAAAACAAAAATTTACTTATTGCTTCTGGTTAATGAAAATAATATTTTCAAGTGCAGTATTAGTGATTAGTAAGGCTTATCATACAAAATGTGTGTGTGTGTGTGTATATATATATATATATATATATATATATATATATATATATATATATATATATATATATATATATACACACACACACGAAATAATCCATACAGTTGCAAAATTTATATTGAGGAAATATTTTATTTTTGCTGTTAAATGCTTAAGGTCAGAAAATACTGTGAGAAGTAGTGTAGAAGGCAGTCAAAAAGAATATAGATTAATTCCAATATCTCTTAATATATTATGATAAAAATGCATGTCAAAAGTTCATTATTCCTTTCCTTATTATCCAAACCTAAAGCCTTTATTTTCTATGGCATCCTGTCAGTGGGTCTTACAAATATGTTCATGGCATATTTTCTCTGGGATTTTTTTATCACCTTTCTTTTGCAAGATTACCAGTTCCTTGATGTTAAAAGGCTTTCTTGTCATCGCTCTAGTCTTGAGCTGCATCCTGAGATTTTTGATAGTTCAAATGTGGACTCTGTCTGGGCCACTCTAAAATGTTGACATTTTTGTTAAACTAATTCTTGACCACCCATTTCAGATCATTGTCTTGATGGAAAATTCAGTCATGGTCAAGTTTTCTTCCATGAACTTGATATTGTTGCTTGGCTCATGAGCTGAAAAGCACATCGCCCAGAGCAATTAAATTACCATTGCCATTTAACAAAGAATACAATGTTCTTTGGGTTTGAAATTTTCTGATAACAGTTGATGATCAAAAATTTTCATCTTTGTGTAGATAACATTTCAGAAGGATTATACAAACTTAAGTGCTTTGGTTAGAAGAAAGGAGTTCTTTTTTAACATGTAATCATGGCGACCACTTTTATGCAATGTCTGTAATACCAGATAGCCAAGATTATAAATGACAGCATTTGGTTTTAATTGCAGGAAAATTTTAAAAATTAGTCATTAAGAAAAGAAAAATTGTTTTGCATACATAAAATAATGAAAAATTTTAATTCAATAATTTTTTTAACAAAATCGAATTAATCTTATATTGATAAAGTTAATTTAATTAAAAATCTAGTAAAAAAAGTAACTTATCAAAATAAGATCCAAGAATTGAATAATTATTTTCCTGGATTATGAAAAAATATTAGCTTTGTTACTGAAAATGTGTTAAAAAAATACATTTGTTTAGAGCTGGTGATTATGCCTATCAATACTTTGAAATCAAGAGGTTGAAAATGGGTTTAGATTTAACTACATATCATATAACCAGTCATGTACAGAAGACATGTGGCGCAAAAATAAAAACTGCATATGCTAATGAATATATACCAATTTAAAAACATTATTTTACTGTCCTGAAAATTCAATAACTCCATATATTTGATTACAGCAGAATAAGAGAAATGAAGACAAGGTTATCTGTTAATACAGATTGATGTAAAATATTTGTTCAGAAATTTTTTTTTCTTTTTTCTCAGGAGTATATAGGTTTATTTCTCCCTGGTCTTTTGAACAGAAGTAAAGGTTTATCCCTTTTTACCTGTCTAGGATTTGGTTTCCAGTGCCTTCTAAAGTCTTTTCCTTATCATTCACATAATATGTTGCATAAAAAAGTGGCTTCCATGATTTGTCTTTTCTGTAATCTGTGACCCATACTTGAAATAATAAGAATATAATTTTGGACGTGCATTTTTTATTAAACTATGAATAAAATTTTTAAAGGAAATTTTCTTTTAAATCATCTTACATTATTTCTAGCAATAATTTTTAGGCATGGTTTCCTTCTGATGAAATTACAAGCAAAAATATTAATTCCTCAAAATAATAATTTTAAACATGACTTTTTTATGGGTTTGAATAATATTGAACATAAGCTTAAAATAATTTTATAGAAATTGTTTTCTGTTTCTGAATTTTTGAAAGCCCAAACAAAAGCAAAAATTGTCAAATCTAGGAATACTGAAAAGATTATATTTATTAAACTTAGCTTAGTCTGGTGCAAACTAGAAGAGCACCTTCATTACAAATAGCTACTCTTGTCACTCCTCTCCTGGAACATTCATTGTACGAATGCATCACCACCCCTTTCCCACAGTTTAAGTAGCAATTTTTTTTACAATGGCCTTGTTGATAGTCTGATGCCCTAGATGGACTGTCCTCTTAGTCTGCCATCTGTGGATAACACAGAATTGGAACTTGAATTGCAACCTTCATTCTCCATGCCAACAGGCCACTTGCACTTTCTGCTATTTGGATTTTTTAATTAAATACAATTTGCAGAAGTTCCTTTCTTTTTTCTTTTTTTCTAAGTTCTGCATGTTCACAATGCCTGTGCATAGGTTTAAACACATCAATAATCCAAATTAAATCAACATTGAAGAATCAAATAAGTAGGCATGGTTAACCTGATATTGATTTTCTTTTTTTGTTTTTCTTTTTTCTCTTTGTAAATATTTTCTGATAACATAGAAATGTCTGAAAAGTTAAGGTACTTGATTAATTGTGAAATGAAGTATGAGTCTTATTTTGTCAATCTTATACATTCATTTATCGGATCATTTCATCTGATGTTTTTGGCTTTGAGAGTCATCCAGTGCTATTTTTTTTTTAATCTCTTCAAATGAAGCACAATTTCTTTGTTTGATTTCATGAGCTGAAAAGCCTCCATTCATCACAAAAAAGAAAAGTATTGATCATATCAATAAAAAAAGATAAGATACAAAGTGTAGCTGAAGAAAATATCAGTTGAAATGTTGGGATAAAAATTACAAAGATGGGGATATTAATCTGAATAATTTATGGTAGAAAAAAATTTCACTTGAAAAAGTCAATTAAATTTATTCATTTGCACTTTACATATTTTGGACTTGATTATAAGAAAATAGTTTTATTATTAAATATAATTATTACATTATGCATTCTGATTAGAACACTGTAGTTGTATGATTTTCCAGTGGTTAGAGGTGACAGTTTTTATATTATTAAATTTGTATTGAATCTGTATTTATTGTCGGGAAATATATATATATATATATTTTGAATTTGAAGAAAAATCCTATTTTACTTAGTAGTGTCTATTTTTTGAATAAATTTGATTTTAACAGAAATAATTCTTTAATCTTGACATCACAAAATGTTTAAATAACAAAAATTAAAAAGGAATGTTAAATAAGACATTTTATCCTTGAGCTTCATGAAAAATAAATGTTATTTTTGCCAGGTTCCTTATTTTATTATTTTCTTTCCCTCTGTAATTAGCCATGCTACTGTTTTGAAATGACTGAGAATTTGGATCACTATGGGTGAAAATCCCTTGCATGTGGCTAGAAAATGAATTCAATAAATACACAAAAATAGTGCATAAGACAAGGATGTGTTTTCTCTCTGAACTTATCCAACCTTTAAAGTGAAGTAATCCTGGGAGAAATAGAAGGATTATTATATACAACAGTATTATTATCATTATCTGACTATAATCTTAACACCATAAGATATGCAAATGATAGTGTTGATAGCAGACAGAAAAAGGAAAATATGGGAACTCCTACAGAAGTTAGTAAAGGAAAGTGAGAAGAAAGGACTATACATCAATTGTAAGAAGATAGAATGTATTGTTTTCAGCAAAAGGAACAACTCAAGATGCAGACTATGAATTGGCAATGCCAAAATCAAACAAGTACCAAAAAGGATGTGTTTTAACAGAGAACAGAAAATGTGACACCAAAATCTGAAAGTACATTGGAATAATGAAAGATGCCTTCCAAAATTTAAGCAAAATATTAAGAAACAGGAAAATTTCATAGAAACAAAAAAGATACTTTACTGTTGCTGTGAATGCTGGACAATCTCGTCATAGATGGAGACTTAAGGCAACAGAAATGTGGTTCCACAACAAAGTTTTGGGGAAAATAGAAATAAAAAGGACATTTATACTTCAGATCAGAAAGAGGCAGTTGAAATTTCTAGGGCATATAATGAGAAAAAAAGGGCTGACACTCACAGGACATATTGAAGACAAGAGAAAGAGACAAAGGAAAGCAGATAATAACCTACTTAATGAGCTAGTGTAAATATGGATGGCAGAACAGGGATTAGGAGAGATAGTAAAAAAGGTAAAACTTACCAAGGGCTACAAAGGACAAGAAGTTTGGGAGAGACATGATAGCCCATGTCCTGAAAAAGGATATGATGTGGGAGGGGTACATAACCTCAGGGACTAATAGACTGGGGGACCAATATGGATACCAGTATAAAAAAAGTTCAACCAGAATTTTAAAAACGGCAAATTTCAAGGGGTCCAATATTTTCTTTTCTAAAATCATCCATCAGCTGTAGTTGGGATGTCTTTCCTTTTCTTTATTTCAATTAAAGCCAATATAAAATATCACATAAAATAGTCACAGGATCTGAGTGTTGAATGTTATTGAACAACAGAAATAGTTGGAATAATAAAAGTATTTTAGAATTTTGATAAAATAATTAAATGAAGATAGATAATGAATGAAATATGAAAGATTTTTTTTTTTTTTTTTTTTTTTTCAGATTATCCATCGGGACATCAAGCCAGAAAATATTTTAATTAGCAAATCAGGTATTGTTAAAGTCTGTGATTTTGGATTTGCCCGGACAATTACTCCTGGACCTGGGGAGCCATATACTGATTATGTTGCAACAAGATGGTACCGAGCACCTGAGCTGCTGGTAGGAGACACAAAATATGGAAAGTAAGAAAATTTGGGATAAAGGCAAATCATTTGTACTTCATTTATTGATTGTGAATCTGCTCAGAAGAAGGATATTATTTAGATAAGTATTTGTTATTTGATGTCTAATTGGGCCCCTTTTACCCTATTTGTACTCAATATACAAACTTTTTCTCACATCCTGTATATTTTTCAATAGGTATCAAAATAAAAATCTATTATAATTGTTTTTGTCCCTCCCTTCTTTAGTTCACATGGCTGTTATGCCCTCATAAATAATGTACTATCCCGTTTTGATCATGTGAGAAGAGGGGAAAGATACTACTTGATTTCAAGGAGAAAATGAATGAATGAAAGAAAGAGAAGATAGATGTGTACAGGGACCAATTTTCTGTTTAAAATTTTCCTTAATTCTGCTTCAGGTTTTAGGGAATTCCTTTTTTCAGCATAGATTTCTGTTTTTGCTTCATTATACTTAGTGAGAAAGTGTAACAATATATAAATGTTATTAAAACAAGAAAATAAAAGGAAAATGAAAAATTTTACTAGCTGGATATCCCCATTGGATAAGTTGCTCCAGCTTGATAGGGATTTGTACTTCATACTTCTTGATGAGTTTCTGGGACAACGCTTGCAAAGAATTCTACAATCCCAAAGTTGCACCACTGATTCAAAGCTTTGATTACTTTGTTAAAAGTATTAAATAACATTTTTTTTAAAAAGTCTAATTCATAAAATTTGGCTTTCCAAAAAGACAAATTACCTCACATCTCTTTCACCATGTGTGATAGGGAAAAGAAAGAATAAAACAAAAAGACAAAATTTTGTTCCCCCTCTTCCCACTACCACCATCTTTTTTTTAATTTTTTTTTTTTATCAGGCCATCTTCATAAATTTTGGTTGCTAAATACTATAAACTGTAGAGAGACAGTAGGTAAGGCGGTGTATTACAGTAACAAATTAAAATGGCAGTTGGCAAATCTGTTAGAAAAAAAATGTCCATTTCAAAATCGCGATTTCCATTTCATTTTTCTGGGTTTTCATGGAAAATACTCCACCCTTCTAGATGTGTTTAACAGCAGTTTCAGTCAAATGGAAAAAGTTGTCAATTTCAAATATTTTCATTTGTACCCACTTAAAATAAGGACCAGCATTGTTATCATCATTATTATTGCAATATTTTGTTAAAGTTTTAAGCTCAAATATTTAATGATGGGATAGGGGAATTTCTAGAAATATTTTATTGTCGTAGAACTTGCCATGAGCTTATTCAATCATTAGATTAATTTGATTTCTCTTAATGCCTACATAGTGCTAAGCCAAGTCCAAATTGGACATGCACAACTTACATGTGAATAATTACTCAAAGCAGAAACTGAATCTCAATGGATCTCTTGTGATCAACTGCTCACTAACAGACTGCAAAAAATACAAGAAAATGCATAACAAATAGTATGATGTACAAAACCTTAACATGCTTTTCAAAAATGTATGTTTCTAAAATAATAGACTACTTAAAGAAATAGGCTGCTTCCAGTACTTATAGAAGAAAGCACAATATATCTTATTATCTATAAACTATATCTAAAAAATGTGTTTACCCTGAAAGTATAAAATTGCATACAAAACATCATTTATGAAATCATAAATTTGCATATAAAATATTTGGATTTCAGCATTGTGTGGCCCATCAAGGTTGTCATGCCTCTGAACAAAACCAAAAATGTTTTGGCATTAATGATCCATAATGGTTGATATGTTGGTTAAATAACCAATCAATCAATCCTTAATAAGATTCATCAGAATAATAGGAAAACTTTTTTCTAGTTAAGATGGAATAGGCTGTAATTTTCACTTACTGCAGTATCTGAAAAGAGCTTTGATGAGTTATCCTTGTTCCATTTTTCTCTGTTGTTTTACTTTGACCAAAGTGGATTTCTATTTAGTTATTTCTCAGCAGCTAACATCATAGCTTACTCATTAGTTAATATCAAATGTTAGTAATTAGTCATTAAAATTTGTTAAAAATATATTTCTTTTTTTCTAAGGGCTGTAGACACGTGGGCTGTAGGATGCTTGGTTGGTGAGATCTTGTGTGGAGACCCTTTATTCCCAGGTGATTCTGACATTGACCAATTATATCATATCATTAAATGTTTTGGTAAGTAATTTTTTAATTTGATACATCCTCATTTTTTGTCTGCAAAATTTCACTAATTTTTGAAGGTTTGGAGATGTTAATTGTCAGTAAATGAATTGCTTTTTTCTTTCTTTTTCAAAATAATTTCCATTTCATATTTTTTTTAACAATGTAGTTCATCCTGTACGAGGAGCCACTCAAAGTAGAAAGTTACACAGTAAGAGGCATAATTTATGGGGATATGTGGGGAAGATAGTGGTTGACCATAGATTTGAACAGGTTAAGATTTTAGTGATTGGAAAAGCATCCTCTTGGGAGTTATTTCCACAAAGCAGTGGTTTGTGGAAAGAAGCTGCTTGAGTAGAATTTACATCTCACCAATGGAATACAAAGGGAAAATGAGAAACAGAATGGTTTACTACAATGTGCGTGATATGACATGAAGGTTAGAACTAGTGGGACTAAGGAATATAGTTTATCTGAACACTTTCCATGGAAATAGTGATAGAGCAGCAAGAGGCTTGTGACATTTTGTCTGTGAGAAAAGGATTGTAGGCTGGAAAATAATTTGTCACCCACAAGGATGTGGAGACTCTTTTTTGGACTCTATCAAGACTGCAAAGTGAAGACTGGGCTGCTTCCACCCGTATATGGCAGCACTACTCCATTTTCGGCCTGCTGATCTGGCTCTTGTAAAGGATAGCAGGAGGAGTCCAGTACTAACATTTCTGAAAAGTATTTGCTTGAAATGAAAAATGTATACTTTTAAGGTATTGTAAATGTATCTTTTGAAAATTTTTGTTGGTTGATGGTAGTTGCATCCACCATTTTTATTTTTTAAGCTACTGTAAAAAAAAAAAAGAAGTTTTTCTGTTAAGTATGAATGTAACAAATAATAAATCTAGCTAATGTTGCATCTTTTGACTTAAAGGCATTAAAAAAATATTTGTTCTTAGAGAGAGAAGAATTGCAGCTTATCTGAAAATCTTTTCATGGATTTCACTGTAAAGCTTTTGTTATCAATATGGAGTTCAAGTGAAAGCTGAGTCAATTTGGCTCTATAGTTGTTCACTGTCATCATGAAATGATTTTCTGGAAAATTTTAATTTTCTTTTTATCTCCTTGGCAACAACAAACTCTTGTGCCAATGCAAACATAATAAGCTTTCTAGGTTTGAAGCTCTTTGCAAGAAAATTCATTTGTAGTATTATTTTGAATTTACTTTTGAAAAGCTAACTTTACCCCAGGACCATAATTAGCTTCTCTACCCAGAGAAGTTTCATTCACATTAACATGTACGGATGATTCCATCTTCAGAACAATTGTCTGATGCTAATTTATAAGTGTGTCCATTGAAAATAAAATGTAGATCTTAATTCAATAGAAAATCTAAAATTGCCACTGTGTTAAAAAAAAAGAAAAAAAGTTAGATAAAGCAGTTTAAAATTTAAACAGGTATTGCATGATTTTTAATTTTTATAGCTGGTAACTTTATTTCGTCAGATCTACTTATCTTTTTTTTTTTTTTGATTTAGAAAAGTATACTTACACAGAATTGACATTAGACATTTTTAATTTTTCTAATTTATTAGAAAATTAATGAAGGGAGATTTGCAGAAATTATAGTAGACTTAAAACATGCAAAAATTATAGTAGACTACATGTCACTCTTATGATATGGCAACAGTGTTGTGAATTTTTACTAAATTTTCCAAATTTCATATCATTAACCAGGTTACTGAAACACTAAAAACATTTATTTTGTAAATAAAATTTCCAGAATTTGCACAAAGTTTACAAACACAAAGACTTTGAAGAAAAATTTTAAAATAATGTCATTGTAATAATGATAAAGTTATGAAATTATTGTGAAATGCATGATGCATGTTGTGAACCTAGTTTTAGAAGACATTCATCCACTAATTTTTCTGAAAAGTTGTATTTCTCTTCTTGCAAAACACTGTTCAACATTCAGAATATTATTTCAAATTTCATCTTTGCTGTATCATAACAACATTCAAAATAAATAAAATAACTCCATGGATAATCTCTGAACATCACATAGACATAATGCTGACACAACAACAAAAGTACACCACCAACAAAGAGATGAGCTGAAGCAAATATGGAGAACTGAGAGATAAATACAGGGACTTCAAAGCATGGATCAAAAATGCTGGACAGAATAGGTGATGCAGTCACAAACAAATTAGACTGACAAATAATGCATCCATTTATGCAGCTGAACTACAAGACTTAAAAAATGGTGAAGATGAAATGATCAAAAACTCAGAAGATAGAAAATTCATAATATTCTCAGACTCCCTATTCAACCTAACAGCAATTAAGGAAAACATCCAAAGTACTATTAAATACATGAAATATTTGAAATTTGTCCCTATTTGATAAAACCCACAAAATAATACAGGTTGTTACAATGGGTAAATTGTTGCCATTTTATATTTTTGATTTTGTGCATATGCACAGTATAGTAGGGTCAGTTGGTCACTGAGAAAAGGAGCACCATGATGCAATTCACTCTGCCAGAAATTTGGAAATGGTATGCTGTACTGCTTGGCATTCGTGTTGGGAGCTCCAATATAAAGATTTAAGAGTGTTTGGGTGTCAATCTGAGGATAGTGCAGAGGATTCAGAAAGAGTTGGATGAGTCTAATTGAGACTATGAATGTATGGCAGCTTGGAAAACTTGTTCTGATAAGAAAAAAACTCCTGAATTTATTGGTGAGGGCTTCAGACTCAACAGGGGGGGGGGCTCGGGGAGATAGTTCTGTTCTTGGTCAAGAGGGTTGCTGCTGGAAGACTCTGTCTGGTAACAGGACACTGCACCATGCCACACAAGCATGAGAACTAAGTCATGGCTGTCAGACAATTTCTGTGACCACTTACATCTGGCCACCTAATTCCTCAGGCTATAACCTCCTTGATTATTATGTGTGGGGCACACTTGAGCGAGAGATCAACAAAACCTGTAACACCAAAGATGAACTGAAGGCAAGGTTTATGGTAGCATTCACCAACTTAAACAAGGAGACTGTTCAGAAGAGTAGTAAGAGATTCTTAAGTTTTCTGGAGGCTGTGGTTAGTATTTCAAGATATTTTTGTGTAATTTGGTAAATATATCTGTTAAAATGAAATGTCAGTGTTCTTTTTCACTTATTGCATAATTTAGATGACAATTTATCCATTGAACCCTGTAATTTGGCCTAGCTTCCTAGCCATGTAGGTATTATGGGAAATCAAAAAGCTGATTCACTGGCAAAGGAGACAACCAAAATGGCAATAACCTACATTAGATTCCCATATACAGTTTACAAAAATAAGATCATGCAATATATTAAAAGAAAATGGCAAACAATTTTATATATGTTTCCAAACAACAAACAGTACAAGCATCAGTTGACAGACTGGAAAATAGAGAACTATTATCTGATTGAAGACAGGATATAAGTGCTATGACATGCAGGGTCAATCCTGGTTTATGGCAACCAATTATGACCCTTCCACTGTTCAATTCTGCATCAATTCCTTTGCTGGTCAATACTGTCACTGGTCATTGAAGTTGGCCATTCTAGTCTGCGCTCCACACTGCCCTACGTTGTGATTTTTGATCATGGAGCTGGCAAAGACTGAGTTTTCAGCAATTGTAGTGTTAAATTGAATCAGGGCAAAGTTATGTCACAAAGGAAAATAAAAAATGTTCTTTGCAGACGAAATAAAGAAAAGATGGGAATTTCTTCAGTGTTTATTTTCTATGTGCTTTATATCATTCTTTGTGCAGAAATATTAACCCTTTCCACTTTGAATTATTTTGTGACATTTTGCTCAATTTAGCTAAGTCTGGAACAAGGCTTAAGCTGAGAGTTCTCTTTGACAGCAAGTCATGTGGGATTCAGCAGCTCTTCCTGCTCTTTGGTCTCATCTGCATCTCTGGCTGGCAACTCTGGAACTGGAGTTGATCATTTCCATGTTTTGCTTATATTGACTTTTACCCAAGACTGTCATGGGGCTGACAGCAACCAATTATAGCCACCTTCTTTGCTGGTCTGTCCGATGTCCAATCTCCATGGATGATTGATGAGTTGATCACTTCAATCCAAGCCTTGCCTTGTCCCAAGTTGTGTTTGATTTTGATCACAAGGCTGGCAAGTATAAATAGTCGGCAAGAGTCATTGTATTGGTTTTGGTCTGGACAGAGTGAAGTCACCAGTAAAAAAAAAAAAAAAATAATTGGAATAAAAGAAAATGTTTTAATATAACATTCTTTGTACAGAGCTGGTATTACAATTATCAATTCTTCAGGCAGGAATATATATGCTTCATGAAATAAATTACTTCCAGCTATGTATATTAAAATGACACTTTTCTTGATGTGACTAAGTTTGAACAAGGTTTAAGACAGAGGTTTTCTTCAGGCAGCAAGTCATGTAAGATTGAAGTATCGTCTCTCATCTCTAACAGCAATTTGAGCGACTACGGTCTTGGTTGCTTCAATCTTCTGCTTATATGGACCCTTATCCAAAACTGGCATGGAGTTTGGCTAGCCCCTACAAATATCATTTATTGTCTGACTTTGGAAAATTAATTGCATGCCCAATTTTGGGGAGATCCCACCTACTAAGAGTAGTTGTAGCAGAACATCAATCCACCCTAACTACTTCATTCTCATATTGGTACTTCATACCGATATTACCAAAGGGGTGTAGGCAATTCCTCCATCCTCATTGGTATTTCACCTGAGCCCTCACTTTGGTTGCCATTTTGACAAACTTGATTTTTAGACTGCATAGGCAAACAAGTGTGGCTTACCTCTAAATCATTAATTCTAATTATTGCTCAAAATTTTTGTCAATGGAATTCCTTGATCCAAATCTCATTCTCTTCAGTCAGATATTCACTAGCTTTCTCTTAACTTTGCATTCATTTTATTATTATTATCTCCTCATCAATTCCCTGATTTGCCTGTGGTTATCAGGAGGTTTTCTATAACCTGCACCTTAGCAAGCGGTCATAAATTTGGACAAATTTTGTCCTCTGACTTTGAATGCTCTTACACCATCTCTCCCCACCCCTTGTGGGTTTAAATTATTCGGATGGCCTTTTTGGTTAAGTTCCTCAAAATAATAAAGCCATTTTATTTCTAGTCAGCCTTACTTCTTACCTTAGGGTTTATTCATGGAAGAAAAATAAACTTTCTGAATTTAACAAAATCTTGCTTCATTTCTTGGACTATCTCTTAACACTTTCAGTGTCTTATGGTGTTTCTCTTGTCTTCTAACAGGAGTTCTTTGTTGTCTGGTTTTGGAAAATTAATTATATCTCCAAATTTGGGACACGCTTTATCATGGGCAGTGGTCGTAGGTACTGACCAGTCCCAATAACTCCTTCTTTCACTTATTTATGCCTCATACCATTACTTCCCAATGGGCATAGGCAATTCCTTCATCTCTCTTAGTATCTCACCTACAGCTTTCACCTCAGTTGTCATTTTGACAAATCTGATTTTTAAACCATGTAGGTGAAATGACATGGCTTCACTTTAGTCATTAATTGTGATTATCATAAGCTAATTTTTCCCAACCTGGTCTTGTTTATATAATCATGAAGTTACTATTTGTTTCCTTCAGCAGCTATCTCAATATCTTGTTAACTCAACTGCACTTATGAACCCTAGGCTAGATCTTTACATAAAGAAAATAATTTCTTGATTTTGTTTACAATTTCCACTTTTTGATAGGTGGAATAAATCAGTTTCTCAATTCTGCCTTCTTAAAAATTACCAAATATTATCTTCTCAATTGACTTTCTTTTCCAGCTGGTCTCTAGGAGATGTTTTCATAGCTTCCACTTTAAGGTAGTGGCATCAGTCAAGTTGTCAGCCCAGCCTTTTTCAAATGGTCTCTGTGCTAATATCTTTCCTCAAAACACTTTCTTTAAGCTGTCTCTGCTTAAAAAATAGTCTTTCAAAATTAAATGCAATTTCGCTTCTTTCAGTTTACCTATCATTACATTCTTTAACTCTTTTTGCCTTGTTCCAAGTTATATTTTAATTTTAACCCTTATCTTTCTGTTTGCCAGTGTCAAATAGTGTCACAATGCTGAGCAGTCTGAATTGGACATACACATCTTACACAAAAGTAGAAACTACAATTCAGTGCATCTCTTGTGATCAATTGCTCACCGTTAAGTGCATCCTAATAGACTACAAAAAATACAAGAAAAACGTGCAACAAATAATATGATGTACAAAACCTTAACATGCTTTTCAAAAATGTATGTTTCTCAAATAATAGACTACTTAAAGAAATAGGCTGCTTCCAGCATTTATAGAAGAAAGCACAATACATCTTATTATCTATAAACTATATCTCTAAAAAAAACCCTGTTTATCCTGAAAGTATAAAATTGCATACAAAAACATCTAGTTGAAGTCGTAAATTTGCATACAAAATATTTGGATTTCGGCATTGAGTGGCCCATTAAGGTTGTCATGTCTCTGGACAAAACCAACCAACTGTTTCAGCATTAATGATTAATGGTTGATTCCTGGTAAAATAACCAATCAATCAATTCATTTTTGCTGGTTAATTTCTGTCTGCCAATGTGAAACTTCCTTCAGAATGCTCCAGAAGTTTTCAAAAGAATTCAGCTCAAGTGACCATTTCATAAAACAAGTATCTTTGAATCCCATTTTTTTTCCAGGTATTAGTTTCCTTGTATGTAAAAAATCATCATCCTCTTTCTGAAAGTGTTTGGATGTTTTCTTGAAAAAAAGGCTTTTTGTGAGCCTTCAAAACATCAATGTCTATCTGAGTTGTCATGGGCCTGCCATTTCACAGCAAAATATTCCATCATCTCTGCCTTGTTGATATCTGAAACTATGAGGGTGGGTTTTCCCAGCACATTTCTCTATTAGGAGTATCACAGCATCTGTCATTCAGTCTTCATGTAATCTGTTGCACATTTCATTTGATTTTCCTAATGGGCATCTTTTAAAGGAGGTCAAATGATTGGTGTCGCATGTTTTGCCACTTGATTTAGGATCTGGCATTTTGAGCATTTCCAAATGTTCTTACTACCATAATGCCTAAAAAATTTGATAGCTTTTTGCAAATTTTCAGATTATCAGAATATGAGATAAAGTAAATAATTTGTGCTGAGTGTTATATTGCACACACACACACACACACACACACACACACACATGTATAGATCTGTATAAATATATCTACACTAGATCAGTTTCATCTTTTATCCTTTCTTTGTAACTTATAGGAAATTTAATTCCACACCACAAAGAAGTCTTTTCCAAGAATCCAATGTTTTCTGGTGCCAAACTTCCAGAAGTCCAAAAGTCTCAAACGCTTCAAATGAAATTCCCAAAATCTTCAGAAGATTCAAAGAATTTTATGGAGGTATTTGTTTTATCAAATAATTATTTTATCAGTTTCAATATAAAATGATTCTTTTTTTTTTTTTTTTTTTTTTCAATTTCAACATCTAAATCAGGATTTTACACAATATTATTTCATATTTTTTGTTTTGGAAAAGAATATTTCACGATATTTTAATGATATAAGCACAGCTTTAATTTCTATCTTAATGTTTTGGATGAGGAATTCTCATTATTTACACAACATTTCATCCATTTATTTAATCTACAGAGGGGTAGATTGTTCTCATTTTGCAGTTGATGTTTTGGGATATCTTGTTCTTATTTAGTACTACTCATTTATTCCTTATCTTGTTTCCATCAAGTCCAAGTTTTCACTACCCAGGATTGAAATAACAATTACTGTGTCACCAAATTTGCAAATCAACATTTTAATCAGCTTGAAACAATCCTAAATGGAGAACTTGGAGTCTTAAACCTTCTCTAGCTGCTGATCATGTTTGACTGCAGTCACCAATGCTTCTCTTTTCTACTGAGGTTGCTATTGTTGAAGCCTTTGCTATCATTTCTGTTTCTTGATTAACAGCTTTCATATCGCAATTTTTTCTATCCTAGGCCTAGTAAGAGAGTGGGGTCATCATAGCCTAGCATATGATATTGAAGTAATGTTTTCATATAGCAATAATTATATAATATCTGTTATATATATATATATATATATATAATATGCTTCTATATTTGATTATGATTCATATAATAGTTAATGAAAATCTTAATTGTTTATTTTCTGCAGTAGTTAATTTGTTAACTTTAATAAAAGCAAAATGAATCACATTTATAGTAATTAAAAGTTGAAGTCCCATTTTGGTCAAAGAAAATTTTCATGAAAGTTTTCAGAATAATTATGACTCATTTTTAACATGGTGGATCAAATTGGAAGTGAATTGAAAATCAGTCCAGAATCCCCACTCTCCTCATTACTATTGTAGTGTTACCTCCTTCTGTTTTTAATTTCAAAGCCTCATGCTGAAACAATCAAAGAAGCCAGTTATAAACAAAATAGAAGTAAGGGATGCATTCAGGCTGACACTTTAATAACTCCGTAGAAAACAAAGGCATACATTTTACAACAATCAACCAGCCAGAATTTTGCCAAAGAATATGACAAGAAATACACAATGAACCATTCAAGTGACAACAAATATGAGGATTGAGGCGAATAAAGAAAACAGCAACCAGCGAGTAAATTTGAGCTCTCCCAACTGGTATTTCAACCTCGAGTCCTTCCTTCTTGAGTTCTGTCTCAAAATCACACTAACAGACTGTTCTTGCCGCCAACCGTGAATGTCACTCGAAGAACTGCCCCACTGGGAAAAAAGTAGTTGCTTTTATATTTGTCCATATACCCATAATCCCTTGTGTCTTCATGTGATCCCATAGTTCATTGCGTCCATGTCCCATAATGCATTGCATCTTTATTGCATAAAAATGCAATGCAAGTCCCCCCTCATTCTTTTACGTTATCTGGCCGAGGACGGATTACGGCAGAGTGGTAAGTGCTTTTTTCTCCCTCATTTCAACTGCAGTAGCTTTACATGCTAAGCAAATACGGGCTCTTTTTTGGTGGGGACAAGGCAAGTCGCGACCAGTTGTGCTTGTCCCAGGTTCTGTCTCATGCCAGCCACAGGATCAAGCTAATAACGATGTTTGGGAAGTGGGTCAAACTAAGAATTTTTCAGTACTCCCTTTAAATTATTAATCAGAATGTTATTTATGATATAGCAATAGCAAGCAATGCAACTTTCTTTCAGTCTCAAATGTCAGGGCAGTATGTTCACTCATAACTGCATATCACAACCACTGTGACCGTTGTACTAAGCATCCTAAATGGCCATTAGGGTACTTACTATAAAAACAATGTGGCTGAGATAGTTGTATTTATCAATTGTGTCAATGTTTAGTATTTGAATACAACCAAAAAAAAAAAAAATGGCACTGGTCAGCTGATGGTTATCTGTTGACTGCTTCATTTCTTCATTTGCTCTGCCCATGTGTTCTTTGTAGTGAAGATCGAATTTTCGTCCATACTTTAAGCACTGAATGGAGTTGGCAGAACTGTACTATGAAAAAGGACAATAATGCTTCAATTGGTGAGAATACAAATATTATAACAAATAATGAAAAAAGCTGATGCGTTAATTTTCAATGGGTTTATATAATTGTTGATACAACAAAATTAACCCTCCCTGTTCAACTCTCTATTGTGATACTGTATCTCCTGCTTCTAAAACTTGGGGTGGGTTAAACATTCACATGAGATTTTAGTTCATCAGGAATTCTGTCATCAACGCTCAACACCAGCAATTCTCTCGGTAGAAGGTCACATAGCTTCTTCTGGCCTCTCCTGGCTCCCACCAGTCTCTGGCACTCTCTGCTGGCTTCTTGTGGCCTCTGTTTACTTCTTTCTCAAACTGCAACTGCTACTCCTGGCTTCAACTGAGTGCTCGGTTTATATGTATTTCAACTTCAACCACCCTTCACAGCTCATTACATATTCATCAATTAATTGTCTCTTCCAAACCTGGAAACATGATATTGGTGAAGTAGTCAGAGATTGCAAAACAATAAACTTTGTTTGCGACATTTGGCCATTTTATCAAAACAATTTTTCCTGTCAGCAACTTTTAAGAATTATTTCTAAAGAATTTCATTTTGTTTGTTGAATTCGAATGAATTCTCTTTGCTTGTTGATTTCCAAAATGACTAATCCAACATCCCATTGTTTACATTCTGGCTTTACCAAAATTTGCTTCCTGGCTGACATTAACCTTCAAATACCAAATAGTCAAGTTTTCAAAACAAACTAATTTATTTCAAATTGGCAGGACTGTTTAACATTTCACTTTTGTATTCATAACAATACTTATTTGCTTCTCCATATTTTGGACTTAACATTCCCTTCAGCAGAATGGAAAAAACATTTCTCTTTTTTTCCTTGGCTTCATATTTCAATTCATTGGTTTTCACCTTAATGTTTTCTTTTTTACATTTTCAACCCTTCCAATTCTCCAATTCTTTACAGAGTTTTCACATGAACGCTTTTAATACTAATTTCATACTACAAGTGTCACTTCCTTTCAACTACTACCAGTAACACTTTATAGTGTCACATTCCTCACTTTCCCATTTCTGTCATTTACTCATAAATGACACACCCAAAAAATAATAATAAAAACAACAAAGTTTCTTCATGCATTATTTTTCAACTAAAAACATGTGTGGAATTAAAAAGTCTCTCCATCTTCTTTTCCAGTCATAATACTTCATGCACCATTTCTCCACTAAACATGCAGTGGAATTAAAAATCAAATTTGCTGAGGGTAAAGAAAGACAAAAATACTTACGTGAATAACATGGAGAAAAATAGCAAAGAAAAAGTCTATGTAAAGAAAAAAAAGACATAGGAAAAAGAAAGATTTTCTCAGAACTGACTAACAGATAAATGTCTTTAAAGAAAGAAAAAAAACATGGCAGAAAATGAGAATGCACTGAGAAGGCAGAGAGAGAGAGAGAGAGAGATAGAGAGAAACTAAACGTTTAAACAAGAGACAACAAAAGAGAATTGTTTGACTTCAAAGATAAGAGGTCAAGTCCCTTTTCCAAAGCAATATGCAGCTAGGAGTAGTCCCTTCCCTAAATCTCAGTAATAATGTCCTCAAATAGATAATGTTACACACATTGCCTCTCTCTGTAAGCATAATAGGAATAGATAGGTTTGCTTATCGTCCTGTTCATATTCCTCTCTTTTGAACAGGAGTAGAGGTTCATCCCTCATTTCCTGTTTAGGATTGGGTTTTGGTTCCTTTGAAAGTCTATTTCAACTCTATATTCCTAACATCTCAGCCTGAACTCCAAAATTTTATTCGCTAATTAAATCTTGACTTCTTAAAGGCTAGAATTATCTGTTTAGCTTTCCTGTTATCTTGCTCTTTCTTATGATAATACAACACCACTCAGTAACCCTCTACCTTGAGTGGCCCTTGGGACTTGTATTGGGTGGTCATTAGTTACAAAAAAAAAAAAGGTTTTGCTTGAAACATATTCTATTACATCGGCATGTCATTTTTAATCTACTCAATGTGACCCCTCCCCAGATAGCCTCTCTCTCTCTCTCTCTCTCTCTCTCTCTTTGTAAGCATAATAGGAATAGATAGGTTTGCCTAATGTCTGGTTCACACTGATCACTGGTCTTTTGAAATATTATTCGCTAATTAAATCTTGACCTAATCAGGGCTAGAATTAAATCTTGACCTAATCAAGGCTAGAATTTCCTGTTATCTTGCCCTTTCTTATGATAATACAACACCACTCAGTAACCCTCTACCTTGAGTGGCCCTTGGGACTTGTATTGGGTGGTCATTAGTAAAAAAAAAAAAAAGGTCTTGCCTGAAATATATATTCTGTTACATCTGCATCTACCTCCCCACCCCCACTGATTGTGGGTAAACGGAAGAATAATGATGATAATCACTATCATCAATAAGAAAAATAATCATCATCAGCATCAAGTGATGCAACATTGAGTGAATTTCATTAACATATATAAAATTACCAAACCTCTTTAATTATCAAATTGTTGCTACAAGCATTGTCATCAAACAATCATGACCAAGAATACTTTGCCATTCTTTACATTGTTTCTCCATGACATCTGCATATTCGATTACAAGTTGACCTTGTACTCTGGTGATACTCTACACTTTGTAGATATCAACCATTGATAAATTTTCTTTCTTTGCAATTGAAATACTTGACTGATTCCAGAGAAATCTTTAGGTGAATTAATCACCTTTGAGAATCTATTAACCACTTTGGGGGTTTATGCATGATTCTATTTCAGAACCTTTAAGAAACCCATTCACTTTCAGAGAATAATAAGATTGCAATTCCAAGCAAGTGTGTAATTGCATTTCTTTTTGTTTTTTAGGAATGTTTAAGGCTCGACCCAAGTCACAGACCAACTTGCTCACAGTTATTAAAAAAAGACTTTCTGCAAAGGGATTCATTTTATGCCAAATTCTCTCAAGAGATCCGAGCAAAAATCCAACGGGAAAATCAAAACGGACCTTTGCAAAAAATCCAGAAAGCAATGGACATGGTCAAGCACGAAGAGAAGAAAAAAAAGCAAAAAGAAAGAGAGAGAGAACAGAAAGAAAAGGTTTTTTTGTTTTTTTTTCTTCATGAGCACAAGCCTATAGCTACAGGGAAATCATAACATTGGAACAAGATGCTTTTCAGAATTTAAGAGGGTAATACGGGGAAGACAAGTCAATTGTTAGAAAATGACAAGATCTATGTAAATAGTCACATAAGACGATAATGGAGATGTTTACTTTTACAGTGGTAAATGAGATAGACCATCAAAATTACAGGCAAAATCTTTTTTTGCATGGAAAAAAGAAATATTATGATTTTGAAATTTTTTCCTTTTCCATTTTTTTTTTTCTTTTTCAGAATATCAAATAAAATTGTGCAACTGTGTGTTCAAATTTAAAGTGAATCTTGTATGAAATTCAAACTTTCTAGTTTTATTAAAAACTAGGTAAATTATCTGAAATTTCATGTAAAATTTGGTTTTGCAAGACTGAATCAGTGTCTGAGTGAAGGTATTGGCCCTGTCAATACCTGAGCAAGTAGTTATGGCATTTTGGCAATAAGATATTTTGTCAGGATTATCTGATGGTAAAAGATTTATGAGAAAAACCTTCTTTTTAAAGAACTCTGGAGAGGCAAATATTAGGTTTGACTGGTACAATAAAACATGAGGCAGCTTGTGCATACACCACAGATATGTAGGTGCTTATATTTGTAAAACCACTTAAAAGAAAAAAAAATGAATAGAAACAAATAAAAGCTATATATCTGCCAGGTATGTAAGCATGATCCTTGTATCTATCATTGATAGTGGGAATATATATTTCAGTAAATGTGATAAAAACATAAAAAGTAATTGTAATATTTATTAGTTTGACTTGGACTAATAATTTGTTTAACATGTTCTGATTGTCTAGATTCACCCATACACTCAGTCTCAAAATGTGTAATCCTCCAATACCAAGAGTAACATTTTTTGGATATTTCACATATCCCAAAAATGTTACTCTTGGCATTCATAATATTGATGAATTGCAAAAATTTCAGATTCTCAAAAGTTGTAGCCATGTAAATCATTGAACACTTAAGTTTAAATCTAAGAATATTGTTGAAAAAAACTGTATGAAAATATGGCTTCCTGATTATTGATACTAAGAAAAAATCTTAAAAACTTTTGCAATTTTCAAAATGACAACAAAACCATTTGAGATCTTTTTTTCAGAAAGCGAGCTCAAAATATCTTCTTCCATGTTAAGAGGATTACAATGGATTACTTAAAGCCAAACTTTACCTTTTTTTTATATATATGCTTATATCTTTTAAACAGATTTAACATTTTTGATAGTTTAAGTTAAAAAAAAAAATTTATATGAAAAAGTATAACAAAACATGGTTTTCGTTGTATTAAAAACTAAACATTTTTGAATCCATTTCAGGAAAATAATTTCAAAGTTAAAAGAAGGAACATTGATCAAGATAAATTGAGTATTTTGCCTCAAATGGATCAGGCCAGTGAAAATATGCGAACCTGTTCACAGGCCCAAGATGGCATTGTGACTTCAGATTTTCTCTTTGGGGTTGTTGATGTTATGCCACCAATTAATTACACACCAATGACTCAGCTTAATTTGCCATCCAAGTAAGTGTCATTTGTATGTGTTATTGTCTCTTTTTTGATAATTTGTGAGATGTCACATGATGAGCTCTTTTAGGGAAAAAGATGAATGATTTTCTTTGGAGCTTTCCTTCCGACATATGTTCCACTCCATAATTAAAACTGTCCTCCTACTCCTCTTCCTTGCTACCACAAAAAAACTCAGCTTCTAGAAACTTCTCAAAACCCACAAAGCTTAATATTCAATTCCACTAATAATGAAAATCTTTTGGCTGATTAAATTCTAATTTAGCAAACACATCTTTGGTGACATTCTTTGTTATACCACTTTATTAACTGGAAGTGAAGGTTTATCCCCATCTTTTTTTTATTATAATTCATCATCATCTCATTTCCCACCTTTGTCATTCAATGTAGAAAGCATCACAAGGATATTTAAAATTATTTCACTTGTGAAAAGGTTTGTCAGATCATATCATTATACTTTTAATTATGTATAATTTACAAAAGATTTTATAATCAGCTTTTAGACATTCAGATGTACATCTTTTGCTAAAGAATTGACTTGTTCTTTATTTAAAAAACAAAAAGAAACACTAAAAATAAATATGCTTTTATTTTAATTCCAATTCTCCATTTGAATCCAGTTTTCATTGTTTAGTTTTTGACTTTTATTATTTTCTGCTGATTTGAGAAAAAATTGTTAATTAAATAGCTACAATTTTTTCCTCTGATATTTGAACTAATTTTGACAGTCAGTTTTGTAAATAGTGCATGAAAAACAAGACAAAAAGGTTTGTCAGAGATTAAGTCAAATATTATATAAGAATAATTTTTAATATGAATGAAGCCATGAAGTAGATAGGTAAATATATGATAAAAATCAAAAAAAAAATTAATATTAAAAAAAATCCCTGAATTTCTGGCCATACTTGCAAAATTGGAGAAATTTATGTTTGATTTATACAGATTGCTTTTCAAATGTTTTTCTTTCTTTTAAAGTGTTACACTGCTTTGAATATTGCATTATTTATAAGTATTACCTCCACTTTGACTGACCTTTTTAACTCTTTTCAGTTGAGGTTGTTTTAGTTGTTGCCATAGCAGGGAATGACAGCACAACTGTGAAATTTAAACACTTTATCATTCAGTGATCAATTATCCGCAATAGCTAGACAAATTATTTTACATGGCTAAGTTGCTTTCTGTACTAAAAGTTGTGTGGATTTCTTAAATGGCAATTTTTGTTGTTATTAATTTTTGACAAGTTTATATTTCATGTTTAACATTAAATGTTTGCTTTCATTTTTCATGTTATTTTTTGATTGAAGAAAGGTTTTCTATTGTTATGCACTTTATTTTTCTTTTCTGATTGGCTGAATGAAAAAAAAAACTTTTCAGAATGTTTTCCATACACACACTGGATAAATTAATGCAATTAATATTTTTTTCTCTTTTATTGATTTATTTCTTCTTGACAGATCTGATGAAAAATGTTTAAAACGAAGTCCCCTTGATAAAGTAAAGCAATTTTCAAAACTGAGTGACACACCCAGAAAAGGACAAGAGAAAAAAACAAATTCAGAATCAAAGAAATCAAAGTCAAGAGAAACAGACAGAAGAGATTCGTTAATTTTGCCAAAAATGGAAACGCCTGCAGAAAGTAAGCCATTAAGAATTTTTAAAAATGAAGTTTATTTTTGTAAAAGTTAAGTCAAATCACTTTAAAATTTCTGTTCATTGTATTTTCAAAAAAAAAAAACTTGAAAAAAAATTTTTTTTTTCTATTTTTTAAGACAATTGAACCTTGGAATAGTGTGTTTATAATAAAAAAAAATATGGATGATTTTTTTTTTTTTTTATCTGTTTATTTCATGCTTTTCATAAAATAAAAATAAAATTGCTTTTCATAAAAATAGGGTGAAATATTTTCTTAAATATGCAATGGTGTTTTTATTGTAAACATTTCTGTTGTCCAAAATTGTTTGTTTTTGTTTGTTCTGTCCCTTGGAATTTGGGCTAGCTGCCTTGGCAAAATGTTTTGGAGAAGTAAGTATGGAATATTGGCTGCAAGATTGTCTGCCTTTTGCTCTTATAGCTTCTTTCCTGCAATTATCTTGCTTTGATAGAGAGATGAACAAATAACCAAATTGAAAAATTCCGAGATGCCAAAATTGTCTATACACAATTTCTGATGGCTCCAAATGGAAGAGAAACTTGCTAATTTTTTATGCCTCGAGAACCAAGCAAGTCATTGAATGCCTGATTCAGAGGTGTTTACACATAAAGAAATATTTGCTGGTGCACTTGACACTGGATTTAGGAAAAAAAAGAGAAGAAAGATGGTGGTGGTGTCCTAATGCTTATGACCCTCATCACAGCCCCATGTACCATTTTCACACTTTATAGCATTTACAGCTTGATGATCTCAAAAGATGACTGAAATGCTCGACAGTTTCTGTTAATTTGATATTAGCTTTTGAACACTTTTTTCTTTTAAGTTGTTTTTAATAAAGCGTAATTATTGTATACCTCTTGGTTTGAGGGATTTCTATCTGTCTGTCTGAATACAGGGTGCGATGGATAAATTGTCGTCTAAATTACACTAAAATGAAAATAACACTAACATCTCATTTTAACATATATTTACCAAAAATTATGCAAAAATATATTGAAATACCTAACAGTAAATTTATTCAATAAAATCGTCATTGGCTTCAACCATGGCATCCAGACGACTTCAGAATCTCCTGCAACTCTTCTGGACAGTCTCCTTGTTTAAGTTGGTTCATCTTTGGTGTTACAAAGGGTTTTGTTGGACTCTCATATGCCCCACACATAACCAAGAAGGTTGCGGTCTGGGGAGTTTGATGGCCAAATGTAAGAGGTGATGTGGTTGCAAAAAATTGTCTGACAGCTATGACTGGGTTCTCCTGCTTGTGTGGCATGGTGCAGAGTTCTGTTGCCAGATATAATCTCATAGCAGCAACCCTCTTGACCTAGGGCAGCACTACCTCCTCAAGGCACTTGATGTAGGCCCCAGTCTTGAGTCTGAGGCCCTCACCAACAAATTCATGAGTTCTTTTCTCATCAGAATAGAGTGAGTTTTCCAAGTTGTTGTATGTTTGTAATCACCATTAGACTTCTCCAACTCTTTCCAAATCTTCTGTACTGTCCTCAGATTGACACCCAAACATTTTGAAATGTTCAAATAGGAGCTTCCAGTGCAAATGCCAAGCAGTATTTCTAAATATCTGAAAGAGTTGTATCATGGTGCCCAACTGACCCTACTATAAAGAGCAGTCAACAAAATCAAAAAGAAACAATGCACACACATGAAATCAAAAATATAAAATGGTGACAATTTACCCATTGCATCCTGTATCTGTCTGTATATCAATATATATATATATATATATATATATATATATATATATATATATATATATATATATAGCAATAACAAAGATGATGTAAAGCCAGAAAAGTTATCAGTCAGTTGAAGTCTGAAAGAAAGGACATTTAAGGCGAGCAGTCTTTGTAATAAAGTGGTCAATATCAGAGATAGAGCATCGTATATACAAGGTATATCAAAAATACTTTTACAAACTTTAGAGGCAGGTTCCTCACACCAAAACAAGAACAAAAGTCCATACAAACATATGTTCATAGATCCTCAATCCTTTGGATTTTTATTTGTGGTGCCACAATTGGTTTATACAGCAGGTATTAATAATACAGAGATGCTTCATCAACGTGTCATGGGGGCCTGTGAAATCATTCAACACTAAGTGGAAGTATTTGAGAGGATCTGCCAGTCAATGATCCGTTATGAGTTGCTGTGTTGAGTTACAATGATGGCCTTTTGGATATATGTTTATATGGACATTCTACCTTGTTTTATTGTCAAGAACCATCCTGTAAAGTTTATAAAAGTATTTTTGTATTGTATCTTGGATGGTGCATTTAACAGTGTCTACCATAAACTTTGAAGTTAACTGAAAAACAAAGGATATATTTTCATGGACTTTTATCTTTGTTTTGGTGTGAGGAACCCACCTCCCAACATTTGTAAAGTCCAAAAAGTATCAAAAATAATTTTACATATATACTAGCTTAAAATCCGCCCTATCAGGTATCATTTAAACTTGCTCCTGAGGAGGGCTCTTGATTAGGCCTTTGTTCAGAAGTTTGAGTGTCTTTGCATATTCTCAACATTGACAGCTCTTCTGGCTGCCATTTGATCTGAGTTTTCATTTACATTTTTCTTTTCCTTGATGCAGTCTTGGTTCTTTTGATTACAATCTTGTCCTTTGTTCATGGAGATTTTATTTTTGCAAGCCATACTGCTGCTGTATGCGATAAACTACAGAAGAACTCAAAATTGATCACTGCATTTAAGTATTGAATTAATATTTAAGCTTACATTTTAAAAGTTCAACGATGATTCTTCTGCCACCACTTAATTTAAAGATAATTTGATGTGCATAGGTTCTTACTTTTCATACAAACAATTATTTTTAGTTCATGAGTGACTTTTGCTGGATTTTGATTATATCCAAATTTATTTCCAAGTTGTAAACATTATTGTACAAAAAAATTTGCCACAAAAATTACATAAAAAAAAATCACCGAAACAATCAACAGTAATGAAAACTCAGAAATCCAAAATTTCTGTAACATGAACTATTGAAAGTTAGAGAGTTGTGTGTCATTTAATTAAAAAAGTGTGACACAATGACATTCACATTTATTTTATATATATATATATATATATATATATATAGTGGACACAAATCAACACCAATCAGCAACAGTCTGTTTCATGCTTCAGTACAATCTTTTCACTCTATCTCTGATATTGAGCACTTTTACCCATGAATATCTTAAAACTATATTTGCATCATCTATTTATAATTTGTGTGTGTGCATGTGTATGTAATTTCCTGCCAGAAGGAGTTCTTGGTCTAAACAAGATGTTTTCCAACTGAAAGAGAAAAAAAAAAATCTTTGTTCATCTTGTCAGATTTTGAGATGTGGGTTGGGCAATGAAGTTTTCAACATTCCTTTGTTGCAATGCCAAATAGAATAATGGATTAAGATTTTCAAAGATGTCAGTAAAGCTCAACAGAAATCTTACATGAATCACTGAATTTCTTTGATCCTTTGTAGAAAAGACACCAGTTGAAATTTTTTTCCCAGAGAATAACTTGATATTGTAAAGATTTAATCTTAAATACGTGTATTTTATCAATAAACATTTGAAATTGAAAAAGTGATAATTCTTTGGATGATGGATTCCTTCTAATTTGAATGGTGTCATTAATTTCACTTCACAGATGGAAGAACCAGAGAGAAAATCTCAGAAAAAGGATCGATAAGTTCTACTTCACATATGCTGCCATTTGATCCTTCCAAATATCAGGTATTTTGACCATTTTTGACTGGAATTTGAATATCATAAAATATTGTATAATTGTTAGTCTTTTAAAAAATCCTCTTCCTTTTCTCTGAACTCCTCTCCCTCTTTATTCCCTCCCCCACCCTCACTCTTTCTTATCCCTCTACATCACCTCCTCTGTCCTCACTCTTTCCATTGCTTCCCTCTTTCTCTCTCTTTCACATTTTTTTTCTATCTGTGTCCTGGGTATGAAGGTAAATTACATCTGCATCCTGGGTAAGACAATAAACTGACAGCAAGCCCTCTGATCAGGAGGTTTTAAGGAACGTGGAACCACCTCTTAATTGCTAGTGTTCCCAGGTTCACCCTGACACAAGGTGGTAGAACCTGTTAGAGTTCCAGTTATGGGCAAATAGTTAATACCTAAACTGTGGTCAAAACATGTAAAAATAGGTTTTAATACCAGCAATACATTTTTGTAAAAAAAATATTACCAGCAATAAGTTTTTGAAGAAAAAATTATTACCCGTAACACATTATTGAAAAAAAATTACCAGCAATAAAATCTTGTCAGCATTAAATAATCCATTAAGGTTGATATGCCATAAACCAAACCAAATTTCTCTCTCTCTCTCTCCTTTCTGCCACAACCCTTCATTCTTCATTATGCCTCCCCTCTTGTTTAGATTGTCACTTATCAATACACTTGCTGTTTAAAAAACATTTGGCCTTCATAAAAAGAAAACATTAGTCTTAATTCTTCTCTACTGTTTATCCCAGAGATGTGCGTATTCTTTGTCTTTGAAGGCTTACAAGAAAATATTTGCTTCTGAGAGTTTTCTCATGACAGAAAAGTGTGGAAAAGGCATCTAACATGTAAAAATAGTATTGCAATCAATGTAGTTTTTAAATCCTTCTACATAAACATTAATTTTTATTTAGGTTGAAATTGGTTTCAAATTATAAATCATCTTTACCATGGAACCTTTTATTTATTTATTTTTTTAATGACATTTATGAAATCCAATTCTCCAGAACAGATATCAACCATGTGGTAATGAAACCTAATATTAAGTTGTAGGCCTGTTTAGCAATTTTTACCAACATGTTAAGGCCCATTGTGGATCTCTGGAGTCCTACACACAAGATTATCAGTATTGTATATTGAGTTAGGGTAAAAGGTTGACAGGAAATAATCATAAATAAATTCATTTATTAAAAGTTTTCAGATCAACATGACCTGGGAATTATTTTGAAGAAAAACAATTATGAGAAGAAGAAAAAAAGATCAATCTTTTTATCAGATTGATTCAAATAATTTTTCCCGTTCTGCTTTTGAAGATAAGCATAACAAGAATAATTGAAGCTTTTGCCATTTACTTAAGAACAGTCTCTGAAATAAGCTTTATATGAAAAAAACAAACAAACTTGAAGCTTTTACTTCTTTTGTTCCTTTGAATGTGATGACTGACTGCACAATTGTAAACATACAATGGGGATCCTTCTCTTGGCCTTTTTCATTTTGTTGCTTTTTATCATGACTTTTGACTAATCAAGTTGGACATAAAAAAAAAATCAAGTAACTTATCAAAACTAATTAAAATGTTTCATGTTAGCTTCTTGAAACAACTTTTCATTGTCCAAAGAATTTCTGCATCATGGTAAGGCATTGTATATAAACTCTTAAAATATCAGATATGACCTCAACAAATCTTGTCTGTTTTAAATCTATAGAATTTAATAGACAAAGCATGTAAAGTAGCCTAAAGTAATAATAACAAAAAAATAACAAAATACAACAGTTTAACTGTTATTGTTTTAATTTCATTGCCACTTAAAATAATGATGACTTACATAATGAATGAGTATAGTCTCTTGGCTACATTTGATAGTTATTCAAGATGCTTATTTGTTCTTTAGTTCCTAATAATTAGACTGCTTCTTAGGCATTTGGAATTTGTGGTGAGCTATCAATTTAAAATTCTGTGGAACTTTCACACCTTTTAAACAATTCTGTTGTAAAAAAGGAGTTTTATTTGTAAAAACAAAAAAATCGGATTTGTTTTGTTGCAATGTTTTTATCATAATTCGGTTGGTTGGTCTAAAAACTAGAAATGTGTTCAGGGCAAAGCATTGTTTTGTATTTGATTTAAAAATTCACATAACAAAGTTTAGGTTTTTAATTAATTCACTTATATTTAACAAAAGTTTCAAATCATTTATAAATTTATTTATTAGTTGTATCTACGCCTCTCTTAGTACTTGAGTTAATTTTGCTGCTATACAGTTGAAACTGCTGAATGGATATATGTCACTTTGCCTGCTTATCCTCCATGATGTTCAAATAAGACAAGCATTTGTGACACATACCAGGAAAAAAAGTCACTAGAGTGTGACTTTAAATTATATAAAGATTATTCCTTCCAATCCAACTTTTTACTATTTATTTTTCTTTTATATCTTAGTGAGTTTGTGACTATTTTGGTAAGCATGACTTTTTAGAGCCAATGTGTCTTTTTTTTTTCTGTAGATAAAAATGTTTCAAACATTTTTTTGTTCCAGTGAGAGTTTTTAATTTTTAGTCCAAGTAATTCTTATTTATATTGTGATTTTTACTTCAGTCACATTTGTTATCCTTATGTTGAACTTATTAATTAATATTTTTATGAAATATTTTAGTTTTTGATAGTGTAGACATTCCTTCCTCAAGGAACACTAAATTCTATTACCTCTTAACCTGTACAGAACTTTGCATTTCCATCAAAATAGGTTATTACATCTCTTCTTCTGGACACACCTCTATACAGGGTTGGTTTTGGTTAATGATGATCATGCATAAAATCTAAATATCAAAACCCTACAAAGTTTTATTTAATTAGTAACAAATAAGTTTCTGGAGATTGGTGGCATTCAATCCTTTTACTTTAAATAGTTCAAGACATTTGCTCTTGAATATATTGGGTATAAGGACAGAAAAACAAATTTACATAGCTAAGTCTGGCACAAGGTCACAAAGTTGGGTACCTAGTATAAATTGCATTTCCTTTATTTGCCACACTTCCACACCTGATTTTTATCATGTTGATTTATTCTGGTACAAAACAATAGAAGATTCTGGAACATCACTGTCAGGCACAAGGCAACAACAGTTGGGTACTCAGTGAGGATTGAATTTATTTCACTTTGTTTGCATTTTTCATATTTACTAAGATTAAGTTTGGCACAGGGTTGTTAAATTGGTATTTTGTGCAAGAGTTCATATTAATGAGCAGAATTCTTTAGTGTTGAAAAAAACAAAAACCAGCCATTCTTTTCCTGTTCGTGAGCTGAAAATTATCCAATATACAAGAAATGTTCATTAAATCTGATTTTTAATTCCTTTTATCTCCTGGTATGAATCTAAAAAATTAATTCTATTTGATCCTTGTTTAAAATGGCTTTTTCTCTAACCTTCTTTGTTTTTTCTCCTCCTCTTTCATTTCAGGACAGCAGTGGGACAGGCACAAAAGGGATAAATTTACCTTCTGTCATTTAATCTGGCCAACTGAGACAGAAGCAGCGATTTGAAGTGGCCAGAGTGCCATTGATTGAAGGCAGGTGGGTCTCCTGCCTCTGCCCACCACCCCAACAATGCCATCAACAAGTGTCAACCTGCACCAATGAGTGTTTTTTTTTTTTTTTTTTGTTTATTTGCTTGAATTATTATTTTGATAAAATAAGAAAAAAAAAACATGTAACTGTTTTGTAATTTAAGTAAATAAGATTTGTTTTTGTTGTTGCTTCAACAAAAAAGTTAATATTTTATTAGGTATTTATTTGAAAGCATGGCTCAATGGTTAGATAAGAGGCCAAACATTTCTAAACTGTCTTCTAAACTCACAAGCAATTAATCCATATGAATATGTCTTTGCTTTTAATAGTTTAGCTCATATATTCTTCAGCTGCATCCAGCAATTGCTAGGGGTCACTTAGTACTTCCACGACTCCACAAGAAGTGATTTTTCCAAGCATAGCTTAAATGTGGCACAAGGCCGAAAGTATGGGCTATGCAGCAAGGATCGAACTCACTACTCAGGCGTAATTGTTCTAGCAAGACAAGCTTGCTAACCATTACACCGCCTCGGGGTGCCCAAACTCCACAAGAATAAGGTCATAAAACAGGGTCCCAAAGACTACAAGGCCATCACCACCATAAAAACAGACACCATGCTAATAGACAAGTTTTCCCATATAAAATTTCTATCAAACTTGACAATTTTCTTTTCAATTGCAGTTTTATCAGAGATGAAAAAATGACAAAGAAGTATAATAGAAAGTTTATAATCCCCACACACACACACACTGGAGGAATATGTGTAGCATGTGTTCTTTTTCTGAAAAACCAAAGATGGAAATATATATGCTATTTACATTATTCGAACTATTGTCCTCATCTTTGTCGCCATATTCATTACGTTTCGGCTTATTACTGTAAAACAAGGGGAAGTGGAAAAATCAGGCGTGGCTGACCACATATGGAGAGAAAAGGGAGATCACCACCCTCTGTCAATGATCTCAACCTCATCCCACAAAGAACATCAGTGGAAAATTTGTAAACTTAAGGAATCAGCACATATGCTAGGCCACAAAAATCTCCTGAGCCAACCAAGCATAGAAATGAATACAATATAGGAACCAGTAATAAAGAGTGCCAGAGAAAAGCAATAACAACAAAATTGCAATATGAGCTCTGGTAAAAACAGGAAATGATAACAGCAAAAATTGCAATATGAGCACTGGTAAAAAACAAAAAAAAAATAGTTGCTGAAGATATTAGGTTTATAATACACAGATGTCCACAAGGACACAGTGGATAAAGGCGTTAGTTAGACAGGACCCGAAGAGTGTGAGATCAATACCTGGTTAAGGCAGTGGAGAACTTGGAGAGAGGAATTAACAGGAGATAACTGACATACATTAGACATGGCATGTGGAACTAGAACAGCCTACTCCAGGGTTCAGTTCAATATTCCAACCACCTGAAGAAGGCTGGAGCATACAACGGCCAAAACATTGTAATAAATATGGTGACAAAGATTAGGACGCTAGTCCGAATAATGTTGTGTTCACAATACCTCATCTCAGAAATATAAATAAAAGAGTCAATTTCCTTGAAAATATTTTGCTTGCAAGGAAATTTAAGAGCAAAAGAAAGAATAAACACATAAAAAAAAACATTCAAATAACATTTTTATTTTTTTTTTTTTGTTAAGGCATTTTTTTTTTTCTTTACCTTCAAAGATTCCTTTTAATCACATTGCACACAGGGTGAAGAAAGTAACTAGGGTTGGGCATAGGGAACTCAGCCACACTTAAATGCGCATACACACACTCACTCAGAGTCCATGTCTGTCTTCCTCTCAGTGGCAGAAGTGTTACACATTCAATGAAATCTATCATTATAGATCTCCTCCAAATCACTGGCAAGCATGTCCTATAAATGGCAGCTAATCTGTGATACGACTTTCTTTAAGATTCAGAATTTAATATGCCTTATAGAGAGTGGCGAGGTTTCTATCAGATTTACTTCCAAGATTGAAAGAGAAATGGACAGTTTAGATTTTGAATTTAAAATCTGCATAAGAGTTGTTAACTCATGGAAAATGTGCTTTGCAAGAGTTGAACTGTATATACACACGCACACAAACACAGAATTTTCAAATTTGTACCATTGTACCAAAGGCATCTTGCCATGAAGCAATGATTAACAAGCTGGTCTTGCAAAACAATTTGATCTTAATGAAGTGCTCCCATACTTGTAGCCTTTTGCCAGACTAAGCTAAAATAATTCAATATGACCATTCAGTTCTGCCATCAACACTGCAAATGTTTGGCTGATTTCCATTGTACAACAAAAACATTTTTAGCAACCAGTCTTTCTGTCTTGTCTAACTGGGCACTTAAAATGGGAGACCCTCAGCTACACTAAATCAAAACCTGCAAGTGCTGCTTTGATTTTTTAAGAGTTTAAAATATGAAAAGGCAAATATTAAACCAGACTAGCCCCCCCCCCAAACCAATAATAGTTTCTTTTTAAAAGATTAGTATATACAGAATTCAAAGTGTGTAAATACTGCAATATCACCGAGAATAAATCACAGGAGTTACTTTCAGTTAAACCCTTTCATCCACTGAGGGATGAATTTGCAGCTAGCAACCTTTCATTCAAGTGGAAGGGGAAAAGTGTGAAAACAGTAGTAGAGTAAAAAGATGAATTATTTTCAGGATTGTAAATGAAAACACAAAAAAAAAAAAAAAAAATGAGGTAACAGAGATTTCTCATTGTTTGTTTGTATTTTTTTTTGGCCATATTAAACATTTTCATTTGATGTTCAATTTACATTAAAGAATTCTAGTAATACACCCACAGCTAAAGGAGTAATCAAATCATCTCAAATCCTGTGTCAAAAATTATAAAAATCAAAATACCCAAACCAAAAAAACATGATAATGCTGAAATGTTTCCTAGAAGATATTTAACAGCCACAAGACAATATTAACTTTTATTTACTTACAACACAACCTATAGGTTGTTTTTATTACAGCTAATTAAATCAATTTTTTAAATGACATTTTAAAAGTTGAAATTTGTTTTGGTATCCCCCCCCCTTTCAGTTGGGTAGAGTTGATTCTTTCCCAATTGAGCTCCTGTTTTTCACTTTTTCTTGTTAAATTTGACTCGTAGAAATAAAAATAATTGCAAGTTTTAACATCTTTAAAATAAAAACCCTTATTTACCCACTTCTCCCACTATTTCTTTCAGTGTCTTGAATCTTCAGAGAATGGTTTAAACTATTCTGAAAGTCATCTTAGAGAGAGAGGTTTGTAGACATCTAGAGTGAGATATTTTTAATTAATGGAAGATGGAAACCCATTTTCAAAAGTAACTAATTGAATATTATTAACCTTTTACTGAGCTAATTTTACAAGAGGGAAATCTTTTTCAGCACATTTGTAAAACAAAATTGTATTTTAAGCTTTTGAAAATGTTATCTCAACCAAGGTAATAATGCATTTGGGGGTGGGGGTAGTAAATGGTTTCGTCATTGGGAACTTGTTACTAAAACAAATAGACTACAAGTCATAAAGGTTTAATTAAATGTTGAAATGAGAAAAGCTTGTAGAGTAGGAAGTAAAGATTAAAAAAAAAAAAAAAAAAAAAAATTTATATAAATTAAAATGTTTTCTTTTTCAGTCATGAGAGTAAAATGATTTTGAATCCAGAAGAATTTAATTCACTTTTTCTGTCCAAATATTCAGTTTCCACTCTACAAACTTGAAAATTTGTCACTTTTAAAAGTAAGAAATTTTATTTCCCCTTCCTGAGAAATCAAATGAAAAGAAAATCCTGTTCAGGAGAAAATAAGCAAAGTCAGCATTGTAAAAACCAAACACTTCCTAAAATTAAGTTGAAAATTAAATTAAACTTTATTTTTAATACCCGTTATAGTTAAAAATTAATTAATTTTTTTTTTTTTTTTTTTTTTTTTTTAAATACTAAACAAAAATTCAACGACTTTATAATATTAATAGGTCACTCAGCAACTGAACATTTATCTCCCAAAATTGGTGGAAGAATTTCATCATAACACAGGAGTTAAACATTATTAACAAAAGATTAAATTCCATCTCTCAACCAAATTATTTCTGATCTCAAAACAAAAATTTCCCTTGAAAAATAAAATTTTGCAACTGTATGAGGGAGTGTTGAAAAGTTTTCAGCTCAACCAAGAATGGATTCCAAATTAAACTGTTTGCTCAGATTTTGGGAAATGTGTTGGCCTGAACTTTTCAGCCACCATAAATTGGAACTAAATTTGACATGGCTGAAATTGCATTGTCCTTTTTTTTTTTTGTGGTAAGGTGGGCACAATTTTTAACTTTGGACTCCTGTACCATTTGATAGGATAAAAATTACGGTTGAATCAAAAAAGGAGAACTTGATCTGCAACAAAATTGCCTCCATGTTGAGGAGAATCAAATTCCCTCTTGTGCTACATAAGTTTCGATTTCAGATTGACAATACATAAGATAAAATCAACTTTGAAAAAAAAAAGTCTCATGGGGAAAATTTTCAAAGAAAAGAAGAAAAAAAAAAAATCTTAATAGTTTATTTATTTATATTAAATATTTAAACAAAATGTTCCCAAAAGACAGATTTTTTTTTGTTTTTAATTGATCAACATTGAGGGTAAACCAATGTTTATATGAAACATGGTCAGAGGGTAAATGCTGTTTAAATTAAGTTTAATAAAAAAAAAAAAAACCCAAAAAAAACTTATATTTATTGAATAACATCTAAAGAAAACAATAATAATTTTTTTTATATATATTCTATTTTCCCCTCCTGACAGCAATGTTGATCAAAATAAGAGCAAGTATTTTTTTTTTTTTCTCAAAAGTTCCATGTATATTTTTAAATAATAAAGAAAAAGAAAAATTCAGAATAATAGGTTTTATCAAATTTTTTTTTTTCCGGACACTTTTCAAATTGATTTGTGGATTAAAAAAAAAAATTAACAAAATTTTAAATCATTGTCTTTCCCATTTTTCAGGTTTATGTTTTTTTTATTTTTTAGAACTTTCTGAAATTCTAAAGACTGGATAAAGCAAAAATATGAAGACAGTGTCAATCAAATTTTTGTTATATGTACAGGGAGTAACAAAATTACTTCAACAAGTTTAAATAACAATGTGCAGAATGGACTGGAACATTGGATTCTGCAAAATTCAGAGTTTCAACCAAAAGAAAATTGGTGGAAACAATAGTGATTTGGTTGTAGTGTTACATTTATTTTTTGTTTGTTTTTCTTACTGTTTCTTTTTAAAAAAGATGGTTTAACTCAAATGTGTCTTACTTTTGTAGCCAAGAAGTTTTTTGTCGTTTTAATGGAAAAAAGAAAAGAAAAAAAAAAAGCAGAAATGTAAGCCCAATGCAGTGATTATTTCAACTGATGTTTCTTATTTGGCAAACGGAAGTATTTTTTCCCCGCTAAAGAGAATTTTTGACCTGCATTGTAATATACTTTCTTGTAAGTAATGTACAAAACCAAAAGCACATATAACAATACTGTCAATCTCTTCCCAGAAAGAATGTAGACCAGAAAATGTTATTTTCTGCTGTGAAACTTTAAAGGTTGAGGAAATGTCCAAAATGAATTTCAAGAATTTCTAACTGATCCAAAGGATAACAATTTTTCTTTGGAATTCATTAAATTCAAACAAATGAAAACTTAAAATTTAGGTGTTCAAAATTATGTGTAGTCAAGATGCACTTATGTATAAATACAAAATAATTTCCATGTCTGCAGATTTTACCAGTAAACATTTACAGTTCAATTTTTTTTTTCTTTTTTGAGTAAATAGGTTTACATTATTCTAAGCATCACTGGTTTCTTTTTGGTTAATTATTATCTTTATTATCATCAAAACATTGTTAAAAAAAGATGGGAAGGGGCTGTTGTTTTATTTGAAATGTGAAAAGCATACAATTTTTTTTTTCCCATGATTGGAAAAATTTCCTTTGATGAAAATTTTTAATGGAAAAATTAAAAGAGAAAATTAAGTCTGAGTTAAAAGGAATTTTTTTTTCTTTTTAAAAAGGCAGGAATTGCCTTATACATAAGAGACAAGAAAAGGAGGAAGCAGACAGGCAGATGTATATTAATAAATAAAAAAAAATCTTATCTGGAGGAAAAGTTAAAAGTAGATGCTTATATAGGTAAAGGTGTTAAAGCAGATTTTGTGGTTGATGACAGACTTGTTAACAATGGAAAGTATTTGTTACCCCAACAACCAATGTGTGTGTGAGAAAATAAGGAAAAACTAGGTGCCCAAGGGAGACGGAATTAATTAAAAATTTGGTTAAAAAAAAAAAAAAAATCATATAAGAGATCATTATTAGTCTCTTCCTGACAAGAAATAAAATTATATATATATATATATATATATATATATATATATATAAGGAAAACATTTTTAATATATGAGATGTGGCTGGGTGCCCACTTGACATCGGTGGTGGTGGGTCTTATAGAAAGAAAAGAAAAAAAAAAAACTTATAAAGCCACACTACTGAAGTCATTTCTCTCAACATATTGTGTAGCAAAGGTTAAAATAAAAGGAACCAATTCAACAGAGATGCTGCCAGAACCAAGAGACAATGTTCACAAATGCATCAGCTTCAGCATCCACTTTGTTTAACGGATGACTGTTTTCAGCATAAGCCAAGAATCTGAAAAGATTGTTCAAGAATTTAATTAGGAATGTCTGTTAAAACAGAAGTAGAATTATTTCAGAATGCAAAAAATATTAAAACTTAAAAACATTTAAAAAAAAATATCACTAAATGAAAGTTCCTTTTCAATTATTACATATATGCACATCTCATTATATATATATATATATATATATATATATATATATATACCCCCCCACACACACACACCCCACCGACATTTCTAGTGCAACTCAGTTTTATGGTTAGGCACAAATGGTAAATGAACTGCAAATGTAGGTATATGTGTTATTTATTAATATATACTTTAACTACATTGAGCACTCTTGTTTACACCTTTAATAAATATTTGCTCATCTGTATATGCATGTGATAACATGTATATATAGTTGCTAATATCTTGTTATTTAGTTTATGTTCACACTTTATATATATATATATATATATATATATATATATTAAATCCAGAGTTGTCCTTCTCCTAGACTCTAGTTGCCAGCTAAAACTAAAAAGCTCAGTTTACCCTACTATTTAACCCATAGATTGTGGAAGTGTTGAATTTATACCTTTCCAGAAGGATATTTGCATATAAGTATGTAACAAACTCAACTGGAATCCAAACTCAGCTCTCCCATTTCTCATTGTGATACCCCAATGTTTATAGTAAAATGTGTGTGTGTGTGTGTATGTATGTATATATAAAATTCTCCTTAACTTGTTAAAGGAAAAACATCATTGAAAATTAATATTAAATAACTGCTTTAAAATTGATCAGGAAGATGACACAAGAGGCCTCCATGTAATTTATTAATGTAACAACACATCTATGTTCAGCAAGATTGTTCTTTTGTTACTATTTCCAGTTTTTAAATAGATGGGGAAGGATGAAGTAATTTTGTTGATAAAATTGATATTTGTTGAAGGAGACTATTATAAACTTCAACTGACCTGACAGGAACCTGCCGAGCTTTTAGTGCTTTGTAGAATTCATGAGCTGATTTGGGGGGCACCCTCAAGTCTCCAGTCCCAACCATGAACATTGTTGGTGTAATCACCTAAAAAATAAAAAAACAACTTGAAAAAAAAATATTCACCAAAAAATTGCAAACTTTTGAATCTGTTTCTTTTTGTGTTTGGAACTAGATTTTGGCCATTTTCAGCGTTCTCAATTTTCTTCTTAAACAGAACAATAGAACAGGAAAGAGAGGGAGCAATAATTTATCCCCCCCCCCATGAATGAGAGGGGTTTGTTTGAAGTTCTTGCAAGTTTAACCATAAATGAAACACCTGGTGAAAGTCAGTTTGGTTTAGTATGTTTTACCAGCATATCAAACCTTGTAGGTCAATTAATGCTGAAAATCGGATTTTTATTTGTTAATATTTTCGACTGTTTTAAGTTTTATACCCAAAAACCAGTGAAATATCGGTGAAGCTTTCTGGGTTAAATGTTTAGTACAGGATAATTTAGTTTTATACAAGTCAAAATCGTTTTACATTTATGTTTCACAAAAGTTGCCCAAGACTATTCTTCTTATAAAAAGCATTTAAAAATACAAAACAAATTTGTGCACAGTCCAAATTAAAATATTCTGGTGTCTATTTCTCCTGGCAATTATAATATATAATATACACTTTTAGCTGGAATAAAATAGTGCAATACAATATAACAAGAGTCTTGTTAAACTATTTATTAATCTTTGGGAAAGACTGGTGTTCTGGTGTCTTATAGCAATGACAGTTTCATTTTCCATAAATCTTCAGGTTTTATTTATGTATTGATAGCTGAGAAAATTTAAATATATCTGATTTCAATGAGGCATTTCATGCAACTTGGCTTGAGACAGAAATCCATTTAATTTTTTTAAAATAAACATTAAATTATGAAATTTATTTGCAACATTATAATTTTTAAATTTAATATATATATATATATATATATATATATATACAAGTTTAACCAATATAAGAAACACCTGGAGAAAATCTAATATTTCCATGGTTATAATTAAATTACATTTAATCGGTAATCACAATCCAAAAAATCAGACTTTCAAAAAAAAACAAAGTTAAAACAAACATGGAATATTAGTGTTTGAGCAAAATAATATAGAGAAACCTCTGTCTTGACATTGAGTTTTCTAGATTTTTTTGGGATTTTTTATATATATATATATATATATATATATATATATAAATAGAGAAAGAGACTTTCAAAAAAACTTTATATTATATATATATATATATATATATATATATATAAATTTTAATTGTTTGGACAGTATTGTCATCTTTATTGTCATGAAATTTATGACATTGTACAAGGCTGGATATCTTCAGATGATTTATGTTGGAATTCCAACTGAATTCTTAGATGCCTTTGGGTATCCTTTACTAACTAAACTCAAAAAGTTTTTGTTCACCTCTGCTGTGGCCAGTTTATTGAACTCAAAAAATTTTGGGTGAAAAATGGATTACTTCAACCAATTTTTATTCACTGATCAATGTGCCCTTGGGACAAAAGTCCAGACAGTCTTTTAAATAGTTAAATACCTCATCTCAGAAATATAGACACACACACATTTTTAATTCTCACCTTTGTCTTCATTGTCATGAATTTTTTTTTTTTAATGTTTTAATAATATTCATTAAATGCCCTGAGGATAAACAAGAAAATAAAACACTTTAAATTTCTATTAAAAAACAAATGCTGCTTTTGTATCTGATTAAATGAAAATCACGATGAAAATAAAAGAGAAAGAAAACAGAATGTAGTTACTTACATCTCCAGCAGGGGGTGCATCATCTTTACTTAATTCAAAGCTGTTATTAGCAGAGAGAAATCTGTCTGTCTGTTCAACATCAAGTTCATCTTTTAAGTTTTCATTCTGATGGTTGGTGAGGGTGGGGGAATTATGAAAAAAAAAAAAAAAAGAAACGAAAAGACAATAAAAATTACAGCAAGAAACAATTGAGAAAACAATCTGCAAAGAGATAATTGATAATTGTCATTAATCAAAAAATATCCACAAGATCAATGATAGATCAATATCCACAAGATCAATGATAGATCAATATCCACAAGATCAATGATAGATCAATATCCACAAGATCAATGATAGATCAATATCCACAAGATCAATGATAGATCAATATCCACAAGATCAATGATAGATCAATATCCACAAGATCAATGATAGATCAATATCCACAAGATCAATGATAGATCAATATCCACAAGATCAATGATAGATCAATATCCACAAGATCAATGATAGATCAATATCCACAAGATCAATGATAGATCAATATCCACAAGATCAATGATAGATCAATATCCACAAGATCAATGATAGATTGACCAGTTTAGTAATTTCATTGGTTTTAAACACCCTTTTCTTAACATCAGAGAAGGATTTTACTACTTTGTATGAAAGACCAGTTGGACAACTTCAGATTTTACTGTTCAGTTTGGTTTGATCCTATGAAACATCTCAGAGTGACAAACATTTTGTTCTTTGATTGCTGACTTTGGTCACAATGGAATAGCAATAAAAGGAACCAGTCTCAATGTTAAATGAAGGATTCAACTTTTCAGGCTGACTTGCATTGAGCCCAGATGCAAAAGTAGAGACATTCTGATAGGAAAGAAAATGGATGTGCAGGTGGTCTACTGAATGAGAAATCAGTTGATTGGAATTTCAAACTGAACCTTTCATTTCATCCACTGGGGTAGGTTGTTCTAGTTCCACATGCCATGCCTCTTCTGGCTTTAACTCAATTATGCAAGTTTGGTTCACCACTGCTGTGCCCTGGTATTGAACTCACAACTCTTTGAGTCTAGTCACTGGATCTAACCAATGTCTTTATCCACTGGGCCATGTGTCCTCAAGGAAAAATGGCCCAGTGGATAAAAAAGAGCCATGACACATGGAACTAGAACAATCTACCCTGGTGGATGAAATATAGAGTTCAGTTCAAAATTCCAATCACCTGAAGAAGGCTGAAGCATACGACGGCCGAAACGTTGTGAATATGGCAATGAAGATAAGGATAACAGTCCGAATAATGTAAATAATGTAAGTAATTATAATACCTCATCTCAGAGATATAGAAAGCTTTGTAACTATACATAATTAAAAAAAAATAACTGTAAAAAGGATAGGAAAAAGTATTTTAATTTATTATTGGGCTTCTTAATTTCCCACATTTTCACCATCATTATGCATGCAAAGTGTGATACAGTTCTGTATTTCTCAGAAAACATTTTGCAGCTGATTGTCAGTAATACCTTCAATCACATCAATTCTCCTAGATTGAAATTCCTCTAAAGATCATGCTTTAGTTGAAGAAACATTACTTTTCACATGTCTCCATAAAGAAATCCAGTGGAATGAAATCAGGCGATCGTACAAAGGCCAAGATAATGGTACACCTCTACCAATCCACCTGTTAGGGAATTTTCATTTAGAAACTGCCTAACTTGAAGAACAAAGTGTCAAGGTTCACCATCTTGTTGTCGAAACACTGTCTCAGTTTGAATTGGTCAAGCTTAAGAATAAAAGAAACAATTGGCATTATGATTCGATTTTTTTGCAAAGCACACCAGACATTAACTTTAGGAGAATCACTTTCATGTTCAACAGATTCTGATGACTTTTTGGTGCCCCAAATATGTCAGTTATGCCCTGTTGACCTTGCCACTAATGTACAATGTTGTGTCATTGGAAAACATTAAATTGTTAAAAGAAAAAATAAAAAAAAAAGGAAAACCAAAATAGATTTTCCAAAGACAAGAAAAAAACTCAACATATCAAACTTTCCTATACTTTTTACAGATTGTAACTATACATTATGGAAACAAAGCTACATATATTTGAAATTGCACACAAAAATATATAAAACATTGACATACCATAAAAAACACACACACAAAATATAACAAATTTACACAGCTCCATCATCTATTAAAAGGAAAATATATACAAATATATATATATATATATTCAGAAGAGAAATGATGATACATAATTCATTCACAAAGTATATGTTTTCCAAATTGGCTTATCTATTTAACACACACACACACATATATATATACACAGAGAGAAAAGAGAGATAAAAGAGAGATATTGGTTGTATCAGGTAATAATTTTTTATTTATACAAGTTTGGTTTAACAAAATGAAAACTCTTTCATTTATTTTTATCTACATTTTGAACCATTTATCTGTTTCCTGTATATATTTAAATATAAACTTTCCAATGTTTGAGTACTTTCAGCTGTTATAACCCATTATGTTACTATTGTTTGATGAAATCTATTTCAATAAGTTTTCATTTAATCCAAATTTATTTAGTTTCTTTTGAAATCAGTTGTTTGGCAAACTACAGGAAAAAAAAAAAAAAAAAAACAATGATTTTTTTTCTTTTATCATTTTGGATTTATTTAGTTGCGAAGTTGAAAGGAAAACTATCAGAAAATACAATTATCTCTCATAGCACCCAATAGGTAAGGTTGAATAATGAATGCTATCAGGATTGAAGTAAAGTTAAAAGCAGGTGTAATACTCTTATAATAATATACTTACCTAATTAAATGTACACCCCAGGTAAAAAAAGAAAGACTCCTGATATTCATGGGCATAGAGAGGGGAAGAAGATGGTGAATCTAGTAAACCATAACTGACAATTCTTTCCATTAGAGTCAAAATGAAAATCTGAATCTGACAGAGGCATGGTGGATAGCGGCTCAGATTGAGGAATCTGAGAGCTGAGTTTGAATTGGTTGGATCCATTGCATTCACTTATGTACTAATACCCTTTGGGAAAGGTATGAATCCTCTTATCCTCCCAGCTATGTCCTGCTATTTACAACACAGACCAAGTTCTATAGGATTGGATGGCAACTGGTCTATTGCAGAAAGAAAACGGAGAAACAAAAAAGTTCGCCTCGTCAGACATGTATCGAAAGATACATGATCGCCTAAGCATGCATAGCACATAACTGACTGACTGAATCTTAAAACTACATTCACTCTGATTCTCATACACAAACACACGTAAAAGATCTGTGGGTAGGGTAATGGATTTCGACTTGGAATGAGAATTGGAGAGCAGAGTTTGAATAACAGAATTTCATTACATTTACTTTTTTTTTTGTATGAATCCATTTATTCTTCCCCACTCAGCTATGAGTTAAATAAAAACAGATTGGGTTCTAGTCATGGAGGAAGACAATTCAAAACCAATAGAAATGCCTTAAGCAAGATCTTCATTAGCTTTTGACCAAAGTGCTTAATGAAAACAAACTCAATGAATAAGAGTTACGCAAAAATCCAGGTAATAGATTTTACAACAAATGAAAATTAATTAAATGAAAAGTAACTGACTTTTAGCAAAGAGCTTGTTTGGCAATGTATTCAATGGAATTGTCATTTTCTCCTTTACAGGCCAATAGACCTAAGTTCTAATTGGAGAAAAACTTATTCTTTCAGGTTGTTAACATCAGTGAAGAAGCTGTTCATATAGCACAACAAAAAGATCCAACACTGAGCAATGTTTTATCATTAGGTGTGGCTGTCATTCTGACTCCAACAACAGATGTACCATTTGAAGCACCATTGCACATTAGATTACCAGCTCCACATATGGTAGATGAAAATGTTAGTGGTTGCTTACATCTACTCACAGCAAAAGATGACAACAGTTGCACTCCATTCTTCAGGAAATATTCACTTAACAATGGGGGCATTTATTTGAAAACTTACCATCTAGCAGGGTAAGTAGATGAACTTTTCAATTTAGGAATTTTTTTCTATTTTTAACATTCAAGATTTAGAATTTCCTATCAAATATCAAACGACAAAAATTAAAAAATCTTATCCATTGCAAAATTAAAAATCTTTTTTTGGAAACTTTGTTCTATAAAGATTTTAAAGAAAAAGTCAAAAAACAAAACAAAAACAACTTCCCAAAATTTTAATTCCCTTTACATCAATAGAAATTAAACTTGAAATTCTATTTTTTTTTTATAGTTTATGATAAATAAGTTTAGACTAAAAGAATTAAGAAGCATACAGATCTTGTAAATCTAGTAACTTTTATTGAAATGTCTGCATAAATACAAGTGGAATTCTCAGGGTTTTCTATTTGCTTCCATTTTCAGCAAAGTGGCAGTAATTATAGAAATCAAAATGTCATTACAAAGCCTGCAAATCTACAGAGACTTTGTTAAGGAAATTTCTACATTAAAGAGAGAAGCTAAAAAAGAAAAAGGAGAGAGAAAAGAGCGAAAGGAAAAAAAAAAAAAAAAAAAAAGAGAAGCAAATTTATTGCTTCAAAGCAAATAGGAAAGCTGAGAACTTTTGATTGCTGGCAACATTCATTAACAGTTATGTCTATATGCCCAAGCAACAACTTTAAAAAAAATTTTTAAATTTGGCATTTTTTAAATAAAAAAAAAAAAAAAAAAAAAGAAAAGAAAAAAAAGAGGTCTTAAAAGAAAACTGTTCAAAAGTAAGAAAATAATTAAAATTACAATATTGCACCTGCTGGGTTTATATACAAAAAGGTGGTGAAAGTTATCAGCTCAACACATTTAACCAAACATTAGGATTTAAATATTTTTTTGATTTAGTTTAATGGCACCTTGGTTGGTCTGAACTTTTCAGTACATGTGGAAAATTAAGAATACTTAAAATGAAGTATTACTGGATTTCTTAAGAGAAAGAGAAAATTTGAACCCCCAAGCAAGGCAATAAAGCAGCTAAGATGCACTGGGTTACTGAGTGTTAAAAATATGAGAAAAAGAAAACATTAAAAGAGAGAAGAATAAAGACAGAAGCTAACAATTGACATTGCATTTAAAGTTTTAAATGTCAAAGTTGGCCAGAAAGCATGGAGAAGTGAGAAGAAACCATTAACATAAAAGTTATAGTTTCATCTTGCCATTTCAACTGTAAAATGATGAGATGTAACTGCCAACCTAGTACTGCACTTAAATTCATAAAGTTTAGATTCCAAAGAGGAAAGCTCATCAGAACAATTATCATGAAAATATTTATAGAAAAGGCACAGGGAAGCTACACTAGGGCAGTGAGAAAGTGACCAAAACTGAGAGGTCATATCAGGAATGATGACATTACAGATTCTTTGGATTTTATTAAGAATTTAAATAAATGTTTCCATGTAAATTAAATTTAAGTGCTTTTCTAAATAAATTTAGTTTCTAGTACTGAATTTCTTTTCAACAAGTTTGTTTTTATTTACAAAGGTCATACACTATTCTGGGACAGAAGTTGTATTACAATAAATTTAGGTAAACAAACAAGGTAAATGTAAAAAGTAATTTATCAATATTTATGGAAAGCATGCAGAAATGAAACTTAATATTGTATTGGAAAGAAAAGGTGTTTGTTGCAATTAACCATTTCATATATGCTCAGGAAATGTTCATTTATGTAAAGATATTCAACAGTAATTTTAAACAAAAAAGTATATCTTTTTTTAAATATTGAAGTTACAAATATTTGAATGTGTAGTCAAGCATCAATTTAATACAAAAAATTTAAACAATGAGTTTAAATATTAATCCCAATCTTATTTCTTAATGTTTTAAATTTTATTCCATGAAGAAACTATAAAATCTCATGAAGGATTTAATGACATTTTGTTGATATGCAATTAAAAGATTATAAAATCCTCATCTTTATTTTATTTTTTATTTGATTAATGTTACATTAACCCATTCTTCCAGAAAATATGTCCTATTGTATCAGCAAATTTGAGGGGGAAGGGAGAAAGAAGAGAGATATGCACTCAGAATCCAATTAGTTTTTTTTCATTTCATCTCTCAAATTACAGCAATTTTGTTCTAAACCAAAATGCAAGATGAAAATACTGATGATGACAGAGTTCTGAAAAATGAGAATAAAAAAGAAACAGGAACTTATTTTGGTGAAAAGAAATCGGATTTGTAATGGTTCCACACATTTTGTCTCTGGTATACCTTGTGATTAATTTTGCACTCTAAAAGGTATTCTTGCCCATCTTTATAGGTTTGTTCTCTTGCAGACTAACATTCTAAAAATTTAAGAAAATAAGAATACATTTTTTTTGACTGAAAATCTTTGTTTACTCTACTTGAAAAGAAAAAAAAATTCTAACATCAGAACAATGATTTTTAGCAAATTGGTTGGCCTAAGAACTAGATACTCTGTGTTATAAAAATATTAAAAGTTTAATAAAACAAATACGACAAACTTGTGCATATAAGACGCTGGAGCGAAAATCACACCGCAGCTAATAACGTCACACACAACCAATCGAGGAGTGAATTCGAGAGGTATTAAGTATGGGAATCTTAGTATAAAACCAATGGCTTCTGTTACCAATTATAGGCATTTAAGAATATTTGTGGAGATTTCAGTTTATTTTGTTCAGGTTAGGTTTAAATTGTTTCATGTAATAGCTTCAAGAATTTTAGTTTGTTTTCATGTTTAAGTATAGTTGTGTTTTCAACAAGGATTTTCTGGAATTGTGTATGCGGCCAGGCATGTTGTTTTAAATGCCTAAAAATGTTAGAGTTATCATTCAAATGTAGTGTTAAGCGTCGTGAAAGCTAGTTTGTGGTGTGACCAACATAAATATTATTTAATTCGTTGGAGATACAATCTGCCAAAGGGCACTTGAATTTATAAACTATGTTTTTTTTTGCAAATCGCTAGCCGGGGGAGAAGAATCATTATGAATAATTGAGTTGGATATACTAGATTTAGTGTAGTATATGATTAATCATTTTTTGCTAGGATCTGTTGTTGATATATTAGTATTTACTAATTTTTTTTTTTTAGTATATTTTCATCTTGTTTATAATTAGTATGCATTTGATTACGATATAGGAGATTAATATGTTTGAGATTAGTAGAAGCAGTATTATGTACTATTTGCTTAGTATTGAGATTTCTAAGAAAGCATCTTATTTGTTCATCAACTATATAGTTTGGAAAGCTATTATTAATAAGTTTTTATATTCTTTAATTCATTGTAAAAAATCTGTTTTATGGATGAATTAGTTTCTGCATTGCTAATGTATTAGATTTTTTTATAGTTGCTATTTTGTAGTAATATGGGCATTTGCTCTTGTAGTTAAGTGTACATGAATTTATGCTGGTAGGTTTTGTATGGCAAAATAGTAAATTTGTTATTTGTGTTTATCAATATGTCAAGGAAGGAATTTTATTATTAGTATTGAAAGCATTTAATAGTTATTTCCATGTCAAGTTTTTTTTCAAATCAGATACTTGTATTTTGATTAATTTATATATAAAACCATTTTAGACATTATATAAGATGCTTGAACAACCAGATAAGATAAGACACAGGAGGTAATATCTATTTTTGAAATATTTTTTAATTCATTATAATTTTTTTTTTTGTATTTATAGGTTTCTTACAAGCAAAAATATGTGAATAAACAAGAAATGTAGTTTACAAATAATAAAATAGAAGAGAAAATGAATAGTAAAGAAATAAACTGTATTAAACAATGAAATTCAGTCACAGGCCAACTGGCAGAAGAGAGGGGGACAACAGCAGCAAACCTAGTCTAGTAATGGCAAGCCCAATCTACAATACCAAAGATTAACTTTATCACTTAAGTTTTTAATTTTTCTTTTATACTGTAACTAATTATTTTTTTTTAATTTTATAATTTTTTTATTTATCATCAATGTAGAATGCTCATACTGTCTTGCCATATCAATTACTTGTAAATCTTCCTCATGTTTTTTTTTTTATAATTTCCCAATTTACCTCAAGGGAAATCTGCGTTTCAACTTTTCACCACTGCTCTTTACACTTTCTTCGGACCCATGGTATCATTAAAGATATTTTTCTAAATACCAGCAAAAAAGACACCACACAACAGAGATCCTTTCAGAGTGAGTTGATCATGTGTACTGCGAATGGAAATACTCTCTAAGGATGGCGCTTGATGCACCAACTAGAGGATGCTGAACTGAAACTAGCCTCTATCTCAAAATTCAGCTCCTATCTCAACAAAAAAAAATCACCCAAACTCTGGCTCATGTCTCAAAGCATATATATATATATATATATATATACACACACATACATGTCTCAAAATATATATATATATATATATATATATATATATATATATATATATATATATATATATATATACACATATATATATATATATATATATATATATATATATATATATATATATATGTATGTGTGTGTGTATACACACAATACTAACTGTTACTACTACTATTCCCCTATAAAGAATGATAACTCAACATAGGATTCAGTTGCTTCCCTTGTCTGTGAAGACTAGCACCACTCCTGAATTGAAAATGGCAACAAACTGACACACATGTAGTATTCATTGTTTCAATTCATGCAATCCTTGCTGTTCTAAGACAGTGAATGAATAAAAGTTGTTTATTTATGTGTTAAAATACACTTATATTTTATCTTAATTTGTTTTTGTTCATCCCAACAGCCTGGGATATAACACTAACATTTCTCAACTCCTGTGAATTCCTTTAAAACAATGTTTAAGAAAGGTCTTTAATGAAGAAGAAATAAAATTTACTTTTTTTTCTTACTTACTTATCAGATTAGTGACAGGATTCCTGCAAACAGCAACTTTATAAAAATCCTGGGGAGAAAAAAAATGTTGGATATGAACAAATTCATAAAAGTTAGATGGCAAAGTTGTTCTGTTCAAATATGAAATTACCCAAAACTTGGTGTAAATCAGTCATTTAGAGTTAAAGAGAAAAAAAATGCTGCCATTTTCACTAACTCTCAATAACCAAATATTTTGAGAAGAGGCCAGATTGACAATGTAACTCAAAACACAAACGTGTGTGTGTGTGTGTATCTTGAGAAAATTCCTCAATGGATGAAACATGTTACTAAAGTAAAGTTTCCCCTTTTGTATGACATGAAGTGGAAAGATTATATTGAATCAATTGTTAGGTCCTCAAGCTAGGAAACCTAGTTCATTGTGTCAGGCTAGATAATTTTTGTTGACAGAATCTATCTCACATATTTCTAAGTCTACCATAGTCCATATTCCTGCCACATCTAGTCTGGTGCTCCTGCTATATAATTAGAAATTCTTGATAAAATTCAAAGAAGAATCTGCAATGTCATTGGTCCTGACTTCAGTCACTTTCCCACTGTTGTATACACAGCTTCCATGTTCTCTTTCTATAAATATTTTCATTGTAATTGTTCTGATGAACTTTCCTCTATGGTACCTAGACTTTATGAATTTAAGCGCAGTACTAGATTGGCAGCAAGGTCTCATCATTTTACAGTTGAAATAGCTAAGATCTCTGCTAACAGTTTCTTCTCTCGTATTTCTTGCTTCTTGATTTCAAATCAACTTTGAGTTTTAAAAGTTTAAATGCAAGGTTAATTGCTATGCTGTCTTCTTAATTCCTGTTCTTTTATTGTACTCTCTTTAATAGTGTTATTTTATTTCCTCATATTTTCTCACTCAGTAGCCACCTTGCATCTTAAGTGGCTTTATTGCCTTTCTTGAGCTGAAATGATTAAAAGAAATGTGTGTGTTCATATATATAAAAATATTGCACTGTGCGTGAAACTTGGAGTTGTGCTACCAGTGAGAAAAAAAATGTATATAATGAATAAAAAAAATCCTTAAAAATCAATCATGTGATGACAATTTATTTCATAGGCTATTATAGCCCAACTCTTCAGACCAAAATTACATCAGTAAATGGAGATCAATTTATCCAGACACAAGGGAAAAGAAAAAGAGAGAGAAAAAAAAAGAGAAAAAGAAAAAAGAAAGGAAAAAATTTTAACATTAAAAGGGAGAAAGAAAGAAAAAAGAAAAGGAGAGAAAGACAGATTTCAATATAATGTTTATTGGGGAAGAAAAAGGGATATAAACATAGGTAGGGGAGAGGGAAAGACAGTGAGAGAGTAGACAGACAGACTGACCCGGGATTTGACAAGTTGAAGAACAGAGAGGGATAATGGGTGATATTGTTTTCAAAAAAGATACATTGAAAATGTCTAGTCATTTCAAGCAGTGAAATCTCCACATTGTATTATAACCGTCACCATTGCAAATTGATAAGAATAATAATAGTGATAATATTAATAATAATAATAAAAAAAAGTATAAAATATAAAATAAAAAAATTATTAAAATTATAATATTTGATATCAATACAATGAAATAACAAATTTAAAAATTCAAAGTAATTTAAATAAAAACATTTTTTCTAAAAGTTTTTTTAACTTCTAAAAATATGTTTCAATAATATTAATTAAAATAATTAAGAGAGTAATAAAAGACCAATTTAAGTAATTAAAATCTAAAAAATGCAAACATTATATATATATATATATATATATACACACACACTTAATCACATATTAAACATATATAAATGTTGATAATTGTTTTTAATAATAAAATAATAATAGTATTAATTAATAATAATAAAAATAATCTTATAGATAAAGAAAGTAAAATAAAATTAATTTATAATTTAAATTTATAACTGATGTAGGCAAGAAAAAACACAATGATGATATACAAAAAATGTGAATGTATGCTGTATACATGTTAGTAAAAGAAAACAGAAGAAAAATAAAAGACTTCAAGTATAAATTCTCCAAAATGAATGTTGCTAAAGAATTTTAAAATGGTCTGCACTTGGAAGATTAGATTATTCCATTAGTTCAATAATTCATCGACATTTCTATACTTAATCATCATAATTTTCTCTTAGATTGCATCTGTCCCTGAAGTTGTTAGGAATTTGTAACTGACAGATGATACTCCATTTTCTTTGTGGAGTGAAGCCTCCATCTTTATGATTCCAGTACATTTTTTAAAAAAAGTATCATACATAATATTAAGGAAAAAATAGGATAAAAATTATTATTTGAATAGAAAAGAATGCCATGATGTGCAAGCTGAATGCCATGGTAGATTTGGGTTGGGTATCTAACATTTCTAAACTTTATGAGATATAAGATTTCAACTATAAAAGGGAAAAACAAAATCAGTATAAAAAGATTTCTTTTGTTAAAAAAAAGCAGCAAAAATATTCACAAGTTGGCATCATCATTTCTCAACAACTCATGTGAATTCATTTAAAAAACAAACTAAGAACATTGAAAATAAAAAAAATTCACTTACAGGATATTGTCCAATGAGATGCAATGTTAAAAAGCCACCATGGGAACCTCCACAAATAGCAATTTGATTCTCATCAATGCAACCTTGTTTCAAAACAGATTCAGCAGCAAACTAGAAAGAATTCACAATTCACAGAATCAAAACCTTCCAGGATAAAATGGATGAACAGAAATAAATGATAAACAGGCTTATGATGCAATTTAAATAACAAATAATTTGCATTTAAGGAGAAAAAAAATTTCAATGATAAAGAAATAAAAATCCAGGAAGAACAACAAAGTTATTTAGCTAATTTATTCAAGTTTATAAAATTGGAATTTTGAATTGAAAATTTCCTCTCCAATTTCTGACAGACAAATATAGCAAATTAATTGAGATTCTTATTTCCATATTAGGAGTTTTGTTATTATTAAAGCCAGTAAGAAACAAGTGCAAATCTTGACACAACCAATATAGCAAGGTTCCATGTTATGGATGTTTAAATCTTAGTCAAAGTTTTTATTTTCAATTCTTCTTCTGTGTTATGTCAGGACATTGATCATGGCTCTCCATAATTTCCTGTCATTTGTAGCTCTTAATAAATTTTGGCTTTTTATTATCTCCCCTAAATCCTGTTCCATCATCCATTTAGTTGAGCTCACTAGCTAAGTTTTCCTCTGGCCCTCTTACCTTCAATTTGTCCTGTGAGTATTGAATTTTCAGTGTCCGCTTTTCTCATTATGTATCCTAAAAATTTAAATTCTTTTTTTGATGTCCTTTTTACATGATGTATAAGTCTCCTTTTTGTTTCCATTTTTCTCTAATATTTCTTTGTTCATGTGTTTGGTCCATGATATCCTCAGCATCCTTCTGTAGTATCACATTTCTGTTGCTTCATGTCTCTTCATCTGTGAGGAGATTGTCCAGCATTCATTGCCATATAGGAGGACTGATACTATATAATAGTTCAGTACTCTTTCCTTTGTTTCTAAGAAAATTTTCCTGTTTCTTAATACTCTACTTAGATTTTAGAAAGCACTTTTGCTATCCAAATGCACCTTCAGATTTCAGTGTCACACTTTCCATTCTCTGTTAAAATCATTTTCCAGATATTTAAATTGTTGTACTTGTTTGATTTTGGTATAACAAATTTGTAATTTTGCATATAGGCCTGTTTTGCTGACAACCATGCATTCTGGTCGAAAGACTGTAAAATGTTTTTATAGAAAGAAAATTTCATTTATCAAAAGGATTCTTGATCTCTTCTGTTTGAGTTGGTTGAAACACTCAAGAAAAACAATATCTTATAAGCATCTATGTACAGGATATTATTTTTTCCTGACAAAAATCAAGAATTAGTGCAAACTAGACTGTCCTTTTGTCACTTTTTGAGAACTTGTAAATTAGGATCAAACTGAAAGGACACTGTCTTTAGTACAACCAAAAAATTCTCTAGTATATAGAGAGAACCTATTTTTGACTGCCTACAAAATCTTTGCCTTGTCAGTTTCAAAGAACTTCTAAGATGAAATGTGACACCCACCTGCATGTCTTGCACATCTTGTTGGCCAATTTTGCCCAGCAAAGATTTGATACTGTTCTGACCAAACCCAATGGAACCTCGGTAGTTAACTGAAAGGGTGAATAGACAAAAGTTTTAAAATGGGCTGAATATTTTTACATCTACTTCATCCATAATTGATAGAAAATTGTACTTTGTCAAAAATGCTGAAAGTCTAAGGTGCAAGAATGGAGAGAGAGAGAGTGGTAAAGAGGGAGGATTAGGAAGAATGAAAGAGGTTTCCAGAAAAAAAAGAGAGAGAGGACACAATGTGAAGGAATGAAAGGAAATATGTAAGGAAAGAGATGGATGAAAAAAAGTATATAGGTGAGAAAAAAGAACAAATGTTTTAGTGCAGAGTAAAATGGAGAGAAAGAATTGTAGAAATATTGATAAGAGAGAAGCCAATATATTTCATGAATACAATAATTCACTTCACTAACACCACTGCCTGTACGAAACAGTAAAGGAACTGTGAGCTAACTGGATATAAAACAGATTTTGTTTTTTCTACTTCAGTAATTATCTAAAACTTGTCAAGTCATCTGCAGTTTCTTTTCCAAATCTCTGCACCCAAAAATCCATTTTTTTCCATTTTCTCAACATAATATCATGTGACCCAGAAAAAGGAAAAAAAGTAAAATATTAACAAATTTTTGCCATTATCAAAAAAGAAAATAACAATTTGGAAAGAAACTTACCCAAAAGTACAGCAAAGCCACAAGCACACATTGCCGATGGATATAAAAGAAAATCTCCCAGGAATGAAGAATGAGGACCCCCTGCATAGAAAAAAAAAAATTCATTAGATGAAACATTTCTGAAACAGCCATAAAAATCATCTGTACAAAGAATGATACATTACAATATTGAATACATTAACACTTACACGTGTATGTGTCTGTTGTAAAATATGACATGGGCATGTTGAGGCTGGGGTAAACACCTACCCAATTGCTCTTCCAAGAACTACAGGCAGAGAAGGGAAAGAGACTGGAGGAAAAAAAACAAAACTGCCTTAGAAACCACAGCATGGTGGGTGACACAGCAACTTTAGGAACAAAATGTCCATGGGACCAACTTCATAAAACACTGAGTCTTGCTGACTGCTGGTTTTCCCATTGCTTTTATTGGCATGAGGCAGCTTACAAAGAGCCAGATCTTGACTAGTTGCAGAGAGGCCTGTATCTTGATATAGCAAGCTGTTCCACTGCTAACAGGGAAAAACCTGGATGTAATGAGTGTTGACAGACGTGTGCATGAGACTCATGGGCTCTTTTGCATCTGTACTGATGCACATTCACTACAGTGTCACACACAAACCTATAAGTGTTGATAAATTGAAATAATATTAAAATGGCAGGGGTGGGTGAAGTATTTGGATACTTGTAAAAGATTTAATAGATTTCTGATACTGCCATTACAGATATCTTTCACTACTGTACCTTATTGCAATAAAGTGATCATTTTTAAAGTAAAGGAACATTCAATCAAACAAAAGAATTACATAATTAAACATAGTGAAGATTTGAGTTACAGGGATATTGACAAAATGCTAAATGTTCCCGTCAGTACCATTCAACTTAAATCAAACTGAAAATATAATTGTGATAACAAAGATGAGGATATTAGTCCAAATATAAATAATGTAAATAAATGACCAAAAAGTTGATTGCTTTATTAATGGAGGCCTTCTCTTATTATCTATAGTTATTTTCTGTTTTTGTTCTTTCTACTGTGGCCAAGCATTGAACTCATAACTCTTTGGGTCAAGTCACTTTTTAGATTACTCAACCAACACTTATATCCACTGGGCCATATGCCTCCAAGGAATGTAATTCCACCTTAGTCTGGAAAGGTTCTTGAGCCTTATTTAGTAACCTGGATCTTGATAAAATTAATCAGCCTCCTGTAATGTGAACAGGTTAATAGGAGTAGATAGATTTTAATCCTCATCATGTCAAGTGGTTTAAACACTCTAATGTTACCAATGATGGCATTACTCAGATGTTAATTTTTTCCATTGATCAGTCTCTCATGCAAATAGTCAATTTCTCTACTTGTCCCCCTAATAACTCTGATCGAGATGCTTTACTTAGTTTGTTCCTTACCTCCTCTCCTAGCTCTTGTTGAGCATTGCAACTCTGTCCTTTTAGTAATCCAGATCATGCTGTAGTATTTGTAAATATCTCTTTTTAGTCGGCAGGAACCTCTAATTCATAAGAGTTCTCTTTGTTACCAGCATACTGATTGGGTGCATTTTGTTATTTTCTTCATGATGTCCCCTAGATTGATATTCTTAAACTTCCTATTGAGAAATGAGTCACAGAGGTTTCTTCTTGGGTTAAAGCTGGCATTGATGCTTTTTGTACCTTCTTGCAAATACCAGATGAAGCCCAAATCTTCTCCATGGTTCACACCTACCTGTTCAGCCGCTATAGCACACAGGAGTTCCTTTTTTCCGGCTATACCAGTGTGACAGTTTCAGTCATAATAGACACCTATATGTGCCTGTGCGTAATAATTGTAAATCTTTAAGCGGACAAGTCTTTGCTGATAGAATGAGGCATAATATAACCTCTAACAACTTTGGTTCTCATGACTACTGACAGTTCTAATAGGGTGTTAAATATGAGTAAGTTTTCTATCCCTCCTCCTCTCTTCAATTAATTTCAGGTGTTAACATCTGCTGATAAAGCAGAATTTCTTGCTCATAAATTCTCTTCAAATTCTATTCTTGACTCATCTGGTGTATCTTTACCTGACTTTCTCCTTAGAACAGAGTCCCTATTGAGTGATATGCATATAACTCCATGATTTCTGCTACACTGAACCCCCATATAGCATTTGGACCTGATGTCATCCCTGTAATAATCTTTAAGAAATGTGCCCCTGAACTGGTTTCTGTTCTCTAAACTCTAGACTAAATGTCTTGCTTTTCAGCTTGTTGGAAATCCTTTTCTGTCATTCCAGTCTTTAAGAACTCAGGTGAACCATTTGATCCTTCTATCAGCCATCTACAGCTTTTTGGCAAAGTACTAGAGGCCTTAATCAACTCTGATGTGGTTAAGCATCTCACCTCACAGGGGTTTCTTTCAGATAAGCAATATGGCTTTCACTTCTCTAGGTTAACTGCTGATGTACTATTATTGCTGAAAGAGTCTATCAAACTTTAGATAAGAATGGTGAAGTTCAAGCTCATGCTTTGGACATCTTAAAAGCATTTGATAGAGTTTGGATGCTTTGGATTTTGGAAGTTGAAAGGTTATAGTATTTCTGGACAAATTTTTGAACTGATTCAGTTTTTCTTATCAAATTGCTAAATCAAAGTTGTCCTGAATGGCCACTCTTCTAGATGTTTCTACATTAATGCAGGCATCCTCCCAGGGATCTATCTTTTTCCTAATTTTCATAAATGATCTTCCTCATGTCATCATTTCTCAACTCAGTATCTGTACTGATGACACAACTATTATTTACTCCTGTCTTATTAGTAAGTCTGACCATTTTGATAAGGTCAAATTGGCAACTGGTTTCAAAAATGATCTCCAATCTCCTGTTAAATGGGGCAAGGATTGGCTCGTTAATTTTAATGCCTCCAAAATGAAAATGCTCTTTAATTGTCAGAGAGAACTCTTTACCATCCATCAGCATGGCTGATGCTAACCTCTCAGAGAGTGATTCGTTGCACCTTCTCAGACTAACATTTTCTGCTGATAGGAAGTGCAAAGATTAAATCAATTGCTAAGTCTGCTGTTAAGAAAGTTAGTTCACCATGTTGTGATAGATTCTGTTGAGAAAAATTGTCTATCTTACATATTTATAAATCTACCATTCGTCTTTGCTTTGAATATTGTTGCCACATCTGAGCTGGTGCTCCTGCTATATATTTAGAGATTCTTAATAAAATCCAAAGAAGAATCTGCAATGTTGTTGGTTCTGACCTGGCAGCTCACCTTCAGTCACTTTCCCACTGCCATAATGTAGCTTAACTGTACCTTTTTTATAAATACTTTTGTGGTAATTGTTCTGGCAAACTTTCCTCTATGTTACCTTGACTTTATGAATTTAAGTGCAGTACTAGATTGGGGAAAAGATCTCATCATTTTAAAGTTGAAGTGGTTAGATGTAATTAAGTTTTATGCTAACAGTTTCTTCTATCACACTTCTCACTTGTGAAACTCTTCCAGCTTCTTGCTTCCCATTCATCTTTGATCTTCAAAAATTTAAATGCAATGTCAATTGCTATTTTCTGTCTTCTTAATTCTTGTTCTTTTATTGTCCTCTCTCCTTAATAGTTTCTTTTTCTCATATTCTCTAACACTCAGTAACCCCTTGCATCCTAGTAGCTTTATTGCCTTGCTTGGAGTGAAATGATTAAAAAAAAAACAAAAAAAAAAAAAAAAAACATGACATACTACAAACTTACTGATCCACCCTTGTTGAAAGTTACAAAACTATCATTTTTCTTTGTGTCTTATTTTCTCAAACTGAGAATTTTATGATGAACCAAGCAGTCCTTTTTCTGTCTCTTTAACTTGAACATGTTCTTGCTATAGTTTTTTTATTGCAAGAAAAACCAAAATAAATTGCATTCTTGTGAATTTTACACAAGAAATCTTTGTGTCAAAATGACAAATATGTTCTAAATTGATGAGAGCCATTATCACCAAAAAAGGATTTATTTTGTTTTGAAGGCAATAAATATTGTTCATATGATGGAATGTGGCAAGTTCCATTTGGGATCAGGTAAATAACTCACCATGTGGCCACACAATGAGAGGTAACTTGGAATCGGCACAGTCGGACGGTTTCAAAAAGATACTTTCAAAATCCAGATCAGCTGAAAATGAAAATAAAAAAGAAATAATAAAATGACAATATTGATGGGGTGGTGAGACTCATTAACAAACAAAAAGACTAGCTGACACTCAAGGATTAGTAAAAATAATGTATACATGAGCAAGATTGAAGGAACATCAGTCAAAACACTATGAAGATGCTCATCCAAATATTCAAACTGATCAACCACAGAATCAAGAAACCCTTCATGTCCCATTAAAATATTTGAAAATATTTATATTCCCATGAAATAATAGATATTTGGTTAAGAATTAAATCTGTATATATTTCAATGCTTTATTCACACTAAACTATGACCATTAGAACTTTATAGAATCACTACCCTTCTCTTTTTAAATATTTGCCAAAAATCAGATTATCAGATCCAAATGAAATTTTCAGTACTTATTTAAAAAAAAAAACTTATGGGAAATATTAGGTTGGGTGTATGTTTCACCCCCCACTCATTTTGATATCTTGTGTGTACTTTTTAATGTAGGTGGGGGTTGCCCAATATTTTTACAGCTATACAAAGAAAAATCCATGAAGATATTTTAGTAAAAAATTTATGCAATATCAAGTGTGAACATATGAAAAATTTTGCCTGCATCTTACTAAAAATAATTTGATAAAATTCAGAGATAATTGTTTTGAAAATTTATGCTTGCATAAAAAAAAAAAAAATTCTTTCAGATTGGACAGAAAACAAAATCTAATTGTAATTTTTCAAGACTATTTTGAAATTCCTCCCACTGCTGTTCATCACACATTTCTTTTAATAATTACAGACATATTTGAAGAATAAAAAATGTAATGTTTAATGCCATTTTTGAGTGTGAACCTTTTTCAAAAGCTTATTTTTCGTTTTAGCAACTGTTAGATTATTTTTGGATTGGATGTACCAAAAGGACATAATTCTGATATCTTGTTTTGACTGACTACTATTCAATATCAGAAGAGTATTATGAATTAATCTAATTTCATATCTCCCATTAAGTCAGTTTTTGTCTTGAAAGTAGTTTTCTGATCTATCAGTATGGGTGTTTATTTTGGGGTTTTTTTTTTTGAATTTCCATTTTTCTGCATTTGTTTACAGATACTTGTATACAAAAAGAATCAATACTTCAGTAATTTAAATTATTCTTTTAAGTTATTTTAAAAACAAATTTTGTCTTATTTTTTCCTGTATAATTTGTTTCAATTGCCACCAAAAAAGTTCAGAATTATGACAAAACTATTTCATTTACATAAAAGAATACTTTATTGTAATTTTTCTAAAATTTACTCTTTGAATAAATGTTTTTCTTTTCACATTAATCTATCACAAATTACATTTATGTTATATTTCTATTTAGGTAGTACCTTAATGCCTGCAAATTCTTTATAATAAAAACATATAAAATAAAAAAATTATATTCTTAAACTATTGGTTATATAAAGTTAAAAAAAAATGTATTTTTAAACAAATAACAGATTCTTCATTATTGCATTCTTATTCATATAGGTTTTATTTTTAATTTTCACATGCTTTTTTGGACAGGAGTGGAATTTCAGTGTTTCAATTTTGTCCTTTTGAACTCATGATTCTTTAAAAATGACTAAAAAGTTTTATATACAGAAATTAACTTTTCTTTTAATTTGTATTAGCGTTAGATTATTATCTTTCAAATAAAATCGAAATTTAAGTTCAAAGAAGGCATTTAAATTACTTAAAATGCATTTTACAGGTTTTTTAGAAAGTCCATGGTGGTACCTAATTTAACGACTAATTTCTGTTGTAACACTGGTCATTAAGTGAGAAGTTGTATCTGACCATCAATTCAGGTATATTATGCTTCTAAGGGATTTCTGTCAAGTCTGTTTGCACAAGAGATTTTTAAAGAATAAGGAACATTTTGTTAATTAATCTTTTCCAATAACTTTGATATTTTGTAAATTCTAAGAAATATTTTTTTTGACACAAAATGAAACAAAAGTGAACAGCTTCATGAAAACTACAAATAAATATTTGTCAAGTTACCCAAAGTTCTTTTCCTTTTTAGTTTACTAACACAAAGGATTGAAGTTTCAAGCTCATTTTATTTTTAACAAATGGAAAAGAAACTTCTTATTCCACACTTGTTTTTATATTTGTCCCATTTCTAATATAAATTTTCAAATTTTATATTCTTTGGACCGTTTTGTATTGACTGAAGTCCTTAGATATTTTACTTTACTGATTTCATCTTTATTGTTTTTAACATATTTTGACCGATATATTCCTCAGCATTCCTCAAGAATGTGTCAACGTGTGATCTTTAAAAGTTATTTGGTATTATTAATTTCTTCATTTTCATTCCATTACCAAAAACTGATAAAGTTATGAGACTGAACATGCAAATATATGTTATTAACAAATAAAATAAAAAAAACAACAACAAAAATAATCCAAGATGAAGATAACACTTCAAATTGAGATATTCTGAGTTATCTATTCTTAATATGGTCAAAGAAAAATTTATTGCTACAGAAAAACCACATAACGATATGGAAATGAAAGCGAAAGGAAGAAAGAATGAAGCGAGAGAAGTGAAGGAAGATAGAAAGAAAAGAACTAGATAGAGAGTGGGAGGAAGAGCATGTTCTTACGATATTCTTCATTTATCAGTCCATCTATTGGTTTATGCTTCAAGTGTTCCACCATAATGCCATCCAATTTGTGGTCAACATCAGAATCAAGTTTTGTCCATTTTATGTCAGCCTCCTGACCCTCTGGAGGAAGAGTACCAATTATCTGGAAAATAAAAAAAAACATTTCAAAATATTTTAGTCACGTCCCATTTCCATTTAATTCCAGTCACAGAAACTTTCCAAATTTTTATCTAATATTTTGTATTATGGCTTTTTTTGTTATATATTCTGTCAAAAGTACATTATTAAACGTTTTATTACAAGACTTTTTTTTTTTTTCACTAATATTCTTGTCTTTATCACTTTTTTGGCCATTTTTATTCTTTGATCATCACATGAAGAAACTTACTTTGCAAGCACAACCATCTGTTACAGCAGCTGTTTGGCTGATGCCTGCTCAGGCACATTTGTGTTTGTTCAACACCTACAGTATCTACCTGAAGTTTATACTGTAACTATTCTGAGCAGGCCTTAGTTACAGTTTCTGGGAGAGAGAGAGTGCATAACAATACCAAGATACTCAAACCCTCGGTCATGATGACTTGTGACTTTATGCTATCACAACCATCGACAGTTTCTGAGCACTTCTGTTTTGCATTCACTTTCCAAATGTACCACATGCTGGCATCAACTTCCTAGGATGATAACTTCAAGATGTCAGTTTCCTGACAAATCGAACATGGTGAGATTTGAACCCAAGTCCCAGGGTTAATTTGCAAACATTCTAACCACTAGGCCATGCACCCGATTCACACACAAGTTTGGTTAGAGATTAATGAAAGTTCTTTGTTTGGGATATTTTAATTTATATATTTGAAACCATTTTCCTCATTTCTGAAAGATCCAATATCTGAGTACTTTCACAAACCATCATCAGATTTCTTTGTGCTCTGTCAGTTTCATTGTCTTTAAATATTGTTCTTTCACGCATCACTTTTTTTCTTTTAAGTAATACATCTTTACGTGTCAGTTTGTATTGCAGTGAAATTTTTTTTATTTATTTATGAAACATATTTATTGTGTTTGTTCCTATTACAATTGCGTCTTGCGTCTAGCATGAAACAGCCTGTCGCCTTTGAGTGTTGACTTCTATGTTCACTTTTATATTTACATATACTATCTGATATTGAGCACTTTATCCCATAAATATAGCACACTTTAAAAACTATATTTCTGTATATATATATATATATATATATATATATAAGTAGACAGTGATGTCAACACCAAGTAGCAACAGGGTTTCATGCTTGAACACAATCATCAGACCATATATTTATGTATGTGTGTGTGTGTGGGGGGGGAGAGACCTTTGTTGGCCCAGGGCATTGGTATCTTTGCTGAAGCCCTATTGTTTCTGAACATTGCTATTGAACACTTTCTAGGCATGTCTTTTGTTTTTTCCTAGTATTTTTTTTTTCCCTTTCCAAGTAATGGTGATTCTTCAGCATTTCCATCTTGGTCATATAGGCATTTATTCTGTTGGTAAGTTCAGTTAGTGTGCACATCAACTTACCCATGTTGTAACATCTTGGAGCTAGCTGAGGGTGTATAAAATGACCATTTCACAAAAAACAGTTGCTGACTGCTTAATGATTGTGTGCAAGCACATGAAACTAGTAGTGGTCAGTCATTGTACACAGGAAAGTTAAGAAAATATTATATATCTATATGAAAGAAAAGACCTATGACAAATTGGTAAAAAACATCTTTTCTTTCAAAAACTGTTCTTTATATATGTGTGTGTGTGAAATGTGTATGTATATATATATCATAAATTAACTGATTTAAAATATGGATTTTTCACTACACAGTAATTACAAAATTAAATTTGAAGCTTTTAGCTTCCATTTTTGAAACATGGTTAGAACTGTGTAATGAAAAAACCATATTTTAAATCAGTTAATTTATAATATTAATGCTCTGTAAATTTACATTGAGCACTATTTTGTAAAATTAAAATATCTATAAGAACACGGATTATATATCTTACTGTTCTTTTTTTTTTATTATATATATATATATATATATATATATATATATATATATATAATATATATATATATATATTTATTATATATATTATTTATATATTATATATGCATGGTACTTATTGGAAAGCACTCAATATCTGTGATAGAGCAAACATATTTAGTTAGACTGATGTGAGTTTGTGACACTGGGTTTCATGCTATTTGCAATTGTCAGACAAACTGATCAATTTTTTTAATTTTGGAGTTAAATATGGTTGCATATATCGATGTTTTTATGGAAGTGGGAGGAAAAATTGTCGTTGGAACACCACTCATCCTTACACAAACATATATGCACATCCATGTGTCGTTGCATACATATGTACACATTTGGTTGCTGTATTCAATATTGGATTGTGTAGTGAATATTTTTTGTTTGTTGTGTTGTCAACGCGCAAACTGTTTTTCTGTTTTGTTTGCTGAATAATGTTTTCTTGCAGGCACATACATACATATGATAGGGTCTGTGTAACATTATGTTAGGTAAAAATTGCTATTATTTTTAATTTTTTAAGGCTGGATTGTTTTTGGCAATTGCACATATGCAAATGGTAGAAATTCCAATTTGTAATACTTATTATTTATGCAGTGGTATTAATTTTACTGGGGGAGGGAGAAGTAAGTATAATTGTGGACTGATACGGTAATAGTAATTGTGGTGCTGCAGTAATTGTGGACTAATGTGGTAGTAATGGTGGGGGGGAGCAGGTGATGATGATAATTAAAATTATTATGATGGTTGTTTGAACTAGAAAATAATTGATGATGTTATGGTGTCAGTGGTTTCTCTTTTCATGTTTATACGGTCAATGGTGGTTTATGTAGTAGTGTTGGTTGGTATTATTTTTTTTTTTATCCGTTTGGCATAAATAGTGTGAAACCTAAGGTCACAAACTCACATCAATCCAACAAAATATATATATTTAGGATATTAAAACAAAAAATTAAACATCGCTACACAATTACAATTATGTTTCAACACTACAAACGTATCTCCTCAGGTGATGGTAAACTACCAGGGAGTGAACAATTATTTTAATTTCAAAAAGCAGAATACTTCCTCTTTTTTCTTGTGGAGAGAAAAAAAAAAAAAAAGGCTTGTGGGGTTTACCGGGATTAACAAATCAAATTTTATATATATATATATATATATATATATATGTGTGTGTGTGTGTGTATATAGTTTATTTAGGTAGCAAACACTCTTTTATACATGTTTTCTTAAAGATAATTGACAAGGCATTGCAATTAAGCTTTTTTTTATTTAAGTTTTTCTTGTGCTCATACAAGGGTTTCTTTTCTGTACACAGTTTTTTAAAGACTGTTCAAAAGTTCTGTATATCTGTATGCTTTTGGCTATTCATTTAACCGTTATCAACGGCATTTTTTTTTTATTTTTAATTAGATGTTTGTTTTTGTGTGTATCTTATGTTAAAGGAATGTTTTATTTTCTAAACATAGCCAGCACATTGTGGCTGTGTTCATAGTTAATGTTATTGAGTATTGGCTTTTCCTTTATTATTAGAGCTTATATATGAGTGCAAATATATGGAAAAATAGGAAAGAACTGTCAGGTTAATAATCCAAAGTTCTTTAGTATTTTAGTTTTTATTTTTAATAAAAAATACATAAGTAGAGCCTAAATTATAATTATTTTTTAAAAATATGATTCCATTGCTACATAAGAGTTCTCATGTTTCAAAAACAGAAGCTAAAAACTTCAATTTAATTATAAAAATTGAATTAAAGTATCCAGCTCTGTTTCATCCTCAAGCAAATTTTGGAGTAACTAATCTTGAAATTTACAGAGCTTTATAAGCATATTCATTTGTAATATTAATTACTATGGAAAGAGCTAAACCAATTATTTTAATAAGGGGTGTAAGTGTTAACATATTGTATCAACATATTTCGGAAAGAGGTGAAGTCAAGGTAGGGTTGGGGTGTTTATTTTCAAGCGAATGATAACATCCATTTGACGCATATTGTCTGGTCTATTTCAGCAACAGAGAGTTATTGGCATTATTGTTATGCCATTAAATTCGTATATCTAAAGATTTTTTTCTAAAAGGCTTGTTTGTATATAAATACATTGTATTGAACTACAATTTGTTTTTTGATGACTTCATAAAGGGTTTTTTATCTTATGATTGGGTTAAGCTTTTAAGCCTTTTGTTTTAATTGAAATTGTGTATAGACTATGAAATTTTAAAATTTTAAGCTAATTATTTGTTGATATCAGCAAAAAATTGTAAACTCATGACTATGATTTAATAATTTTTCATTTTTTAGAAACTTAATGATGTGTAGTTTTTCATGTAGGCATAAAGGGCATGGGTTATCCCAGGTTTTACAAGTTCTTGTTCTATTTATTATTTTCCATTTTACTTTTGGTGTTTTATTCGTTTCCTTTAAATGTCAAAAATATTTGGATAGGAATGTCAGATTTCTATTTCTAATATTATTGAAGGAGCTTTTGTGTTGTCTCCACCTAATTTTAAATTCATTCTTCATGGATCTGATATATATCATTTCAATGAATGAGATTGAATCTGTGGTATACCAATGCACAATGTGGCATTTATTTTCCAATGAGCAGTCTTCCGGGTTTCTACAATCACATAATTTTTCATTATTTTTGTCTAATTTTAGTTTAGGGTTTTTATTAATAATATTTTGGCATGCCTGTTTTTCCAGGATTTTATGTTTTTTTTAGGATTCTTTCTAGATTTTCAGTGCAGCTGTCGCTTAATTTTAAGGTGGTTTTATTAAAGATCTTGCTAAGTCTGCTATCAGTAGGAAAGTGTTTTTCAATTAAAGCTAGGAATTTTTGCCCTAGCTTAATACTAACCATTTGGTTGAATGGAGGGGTATACCAAATAATTTTACTTTTCCTGTTTTTCTTCTGGTTAGTACTATTGTTTTTATAATTTATGTTAGCATTTTTGTATCCACTATTTTTTTTAGAGCTGTGTTGTAAATGTTACTGTGTTGTTGGAATATTTCTTCATTTGTGGAGTTCAAGCTTATTCTTTTCTCTATTGATGAGGGTATATGCTTAATTGTAGATGGAGGGTGGTTTGACCCAGGGTGTACATACAAGGGTTTTCTGTAAGGTAGGTTCAATTGGTTTACCAGTATCAACAATAAGCCTGATTGCACCCTAATACGGTTCAATATTCAAGATTATATATATATATATATATATATATATATAATTATGTACTAGCATATATGATAAGTTTTAAAATTCTGAAAATTTTGAATCAAAGAAACATTTTCTATTTTGGCAACTCTAGATCTGAAATTGTCTTTAAAACACAACATCCTTAAATCTTTTTATGTTATTTGCTAAAAGCAAAAATCATCATATAGACAATTTCTATTTACACATTTACTTGGGTCAAATGTCAGGCACATTATACTCACCAAATAATGAGGTTTGTTGGGAGTGGAATACTGAGCAACAATATGATCACCATGGACATCTAAAATATTTGTAGCTCCGATTCCTCTTTCGGCTGGAGTGGGGGAAAAAAAAAAAAAAAAAAAAACAGATTAAAATTCATTTTCTGATATGAGAAGAGACAAAAACATTGAAGTCTAGAAGAGTTTTAATTGTGTACACTGCCTAACAATATTGATGAATGGAATTTAAAACTACTAAACATTATGGTGTGTGCGGGGAGGTTGTAAAAGCAAAGCAAATATTATATGAGTTATCATATGATTGGTATTAAATCCTCAGGGGAGATTGATGAAAGGCTTTCCATTAGAAATAACATGACTGAATTTGAATTTTAGGTATCAGATAGTGAATTAGTGTGAATTATAATAAAATCATAAAAGAGGAAAAAAAGGATGTGAATGGTGCAATGGTTAGTGGCTCAGAATGAGAAAAATTGGAGAAACAAGTTCGTTACATTTACTTATGAGCAAATACTCTTGGGAAAAGGTATGAATTCATCTCTGTCTCCCAACAGCTATGGGTTAAATTGTAGAGCAGACTGGGCTTTTCAGCTGTGGTTGGCAACTATCTAGGAGGAGGATGACAACTCTGAATTTAAAACCATATCAACCAAATCATGAATTGCCCTTTAACAAGGCAGTGCAGCCAGAAGCCACTCTTGCCATGGTTATGCTGAAGATATTAGCATTAGATTGGATGTGGTCAATGGTAGAATCTAAAAGACCAGATTTGTTGCATTGAACTGTAATGGTGTAATGCAAAAAAAGATTCTTCATATTTGACAATGGCTAAGAACTAATTATTTCAAATCAGTTGGAAACTGCTGGAACACACAGAACAGTTCCTTGCGTCTCTTGATACATGCCCAACTGAAACCGTTATGATGAGGCACACAAACAGCACCAGGAGGAAGCAAGTGGGGTTTACTAATGAACATTAATTAAAGGATAAGGTTAAAAGAATTGTGAAATATATTTAATTATAATAAAATGGATTAATACATGGTATTGTTGGAGTTTGAACTCGTAAATTAAAAGGGTTTTAATGAGTAGGATCCAGTAAAACAAGGTGCACCCACCTTTCACCAATTGCTGACAAAATAAACCAACTGACTCAAAAGAAGGTCAGATCTTGACCAAAATTTAAAACTGGTATTTGTTAATTTTTAATACTATACAACTTTTTTGCTTTGGTCCTTGACTGTGGTCAAGAATTTCACTGACCCGCCAATGAGAAACAAGAGAATGAAGTCATCAAAACTGTCTCCATGATTTTATTGCTAACCTCATAGGCTAATCAACTTGTAACCTGACACATGAAAGTAACCTATTCTCCAGAAATAGAGAGAGAAGGAGGAGGGGGGAGCAGTAATAAAGAGATGAGTGGTAAGATTCATGCCATTAATGTCCTGTTAAAGTTTTTTTTTTGTCAGTTTAACAATAAAAGTAGACATCAATTTACATATCATTATTATTATTACATATGTAGACCCTTTGTTATTCAAGAGAATTGATTCAATTTGAAACTTGGTGAGATAGTGAATCTTTAGTAATATATACTGACAAGGCAAAGAAATGATTTGACTGGAATCAAAGTCTGCTCAGATCAATAATCACAATGTGAGTGAATAGGACCTTGGTCAAATGTAAACATGCACACTTTGAACTACCTGTCAGAAAGTGGTAGACAAACTTGCATCTGATCATTTTGTACAAATAACTAGAAGAAGGCATGAATCCACTTTTTGTGTTTTTTTTCAGTAAATATTCAAAGAAAATTTAATTGGCATGTTGATAGAGAAGCAGGCTGATGAACATTCAGGTAAGCCAGTCTCTCATTATTACTTCACCTGACCAGGCAATAACAGCAAAAAACCTGTTATACTCATTGTCAACAGTCATATTTATCCACATATGTAAAATGTAATGTATATACATACATATTATGTAATTCATTTCAAAGAATGTGCAGTTACTACAATTAGATCCCAGGTAGACATGCTGATACATACGTAAATATTGATAACATCATATTTTTTTTTAACGAGCATTATGACAGTAGAGAAAATAAAGATTGAAGTTTGAAATTAAACACACACATGTTAATGCATTTTAGAAATAGACAACTTGAAACAAGGGTTTTATTGCAGCATTGCTGCACATAAATTATTTAAAAAATTTAAACCCTATAAATAATGACAAAATTGAATTTTTAGTTTTGTCAGCAAGTGAAATACTTACGACTTTTTAATCTTGTTACATTCTGAGTTTCAGTGTTTATAACAACAGCAGTCTTTAAAAGAAAACAATCCTCATGTCAAACTCAAAACCAGTTTTAAAATAAAAGGTTGCAAAATCTTGAAAAGAAAAGTAATTTTACTCAAATAAAATTTGACTTATTTTAAAAATCTATCTTTTGAGGTTGAAACAAAATTTGAAAATTGAGTAATAAGAATAATAAAAGACCAAATTTAAATAATTTGCTGAGATTCAAACAAATTTAACTTGGTTTTTGTGTATTTTCCACTACAAACATCCAGCCTCTGTTTAATGCTACCCTGCTGTCATTAGAAATCTTTGATACACAACTTCTAAAATCCAACTTTTAAACTGTTGACTTTTAAAATCTTTGATACAGCAGCAACAACAATTTTAAAAAAACAAACTGAGATTATATACAACAGTCAATTGTTGATTCCCCTTCCTCACAGTGGTCAAGATCAGACACAAAGAGAAATCTTGAAAATGTTGATGGCACTAAAGAGACTGGATATGTAAATCAGGTGAGAAGTGCATCAAAAGGAATTTATGAACAGAAATTGAGTGGGTTTGAATAATGATGAATAAAAAAAAAAGTGTTATAATATGGCTCCATATTAAATATTTTTCTTGTTCAATCATATAAATTATTATCATAGGCAAGAGCTACATTTTTTTTTTCAGTCATCTCTTGTCTGCATAAAATTGTTAAACTTTACAGGATCAAAAAATTAGCCCTCAATCTAGATTTGTTTTTCTCACTCAATTTCTCAAACCCTACCACAGCATGTAAAACACATACACACACACAAATATCAATTAATATTTATTTTTTTATCCCAATTTGTGTTTTTCTTTTGCTCCCATAGAAAGTGATAAGAACTTTTCTTTTTCTCTCAATGAATTGTTACACACAGAAACTGGTATCATTTTTTTAATTATCTCCCTTTGTTAGTGATAAGGACTAATCAGTCTCTTAAGCTGGCACAAGGCTAAAAAAAAGCATAGAATCTGATGAGAACCAATCCCCTCCCACTTATCAATTGACAAAGTTCATTAATAGAACGAATTGTGATGGCTGAATTTTATGGATAAGTTTTTTTTCTTCTAATTGAAACACATAGAAACTGATATTTCATTTAATTTATTAAATGTAGAAAACTATAATGAAATATAAAAATTAAATCTTAAATTGCCAATTTTTGGTTAAAAAGTCAAGGTAGGGATAAAATTTTCTTAACTTAAGGGGAATAAAAACAAATTATAATGTTTCAACTTACTAAATTAGTAAGATTTTCAAATGTGAATGGGTCAACTCTGAACAATAAATTTAAGTGAAGAAGTGCCATTTTCCTGGCATATAAAATATTTATGAAAGTTACAGGAAATATTTTGCATTATTTGGTAATTTTTGATACATTTGGTTAAACTAGCTTTGATAAAGCAGGGGTCTGCTTTCATCAACTGTGTCGTCTCACAACAACAGCAGCAGCTGGTCAAATGATATTAAATAATCAAGTTGGTGGCATAGATTATAAAAAATATAAAATAGTTTGGATCCTTTACTCCAGATTAATGCCTTTTATAATGATAAACATTCAAACAGTAGAATCTTTTTTTTTATTTTGGATTAGTTTTGATTTTGTTTTAATTTTGTGTAGCTTTTTATCATAACACTCAAGTCATTTGAATTATGACCATAAAGTAAGCAGTGTTGGTTGGAATTACAAAGAGAAATACCAAAAAAAACAAAAAAAAAAAAAAAAAAAAAAAAAAAAAAAAAAAAAAAAAAAAAAAAAAAAAACAAAAACAAAAAAAAAAAAAAAAAAACTTATTTTTGTTATTTCTCATCCACCAGTGTGATGGTCAGAGAAGAAATGTAAAACCTACCTAAAATTTGTAATAAAATGCAACAAAAACTAAATAGAAAATTAAAAACTGACAATTCTTCATATCAGGAATAAAGATAATTTACAAATTTTTGCTTTCTTTTAACTGCAAATGATAAAAATTTTCAGTTCAATAATTTCATGATAATTGTTCAGATCAGCTCTCCAATATGGTACTTAGACTTTATGAATTTAAGTTCTGTACAAGACGGGTAAAGAGATCTCATCAATTTACAGTTGAATTGGTTAGATCTAACCATAAATTTTACACTAACAGTTCTTTTTCTCACACTTCTCACTTGTAGAAGTCCCTTCCGGCTATATGCTATCCAGCCAACTTTAATCTTAAAAAATTTGAATGCAATGTCAATCACTATCTACTGTCCTCTGGATTATTCTTACTTTGTTTCTAACTCTTTAGTAATGTTTTTTCTGTTTCTCTAATTCTTTTACACCCAGTAATCCATTGTCTTAATGGCTTTACTGCCTTGCTTGGGGTGAACTCAAAAAAATAAATAAAAAAAAAAAATAAAAAAAAAAAAAAATTAAAAAATAAAAAAAATAAAAAATACAAAAACTAAAATAAAAAAAAAAATACAAAAAAAAAAAAAAAAAAAAAAATAAAAAAATAAAAAAAAAAAAAAAAATAAAAAAATACAAAAATAAAATAAAAAAAAAATAAAATAAAAAAAAATACAAAAATAAAATAAATAAAAAAATACAAAAATAAAAAAATAAAAAAATAAAAAAATAAAAAAATAAAAAATAAATAAAATAAATAAAAAAATAAAAAAAATAAAATAAAATGGTTAACTGTTTATAGAAGAAAATCAAGTGAAGACCCATTACTCAACAGCAAACACTTCAATACTTTATCTGCTCAATGATTCATTATATATTGTGAAATAACTTATGGAAAAGATTTTTTTAAAATGATTTTTTAAGACATGAATAACATTGTTGCTGAGATCCATTCAGTTAGAATCTTATTCAGCAGAATATCAATGAGAATTTTCAAAGAATTTCCAAACAATCTTTATACTTACTAACTGAGATTTCCACACACTGCTAAATACCAGCCGTTTATTATCACTGGCCCAACATCTTTCTGGGAGATTGAGTGTAAAAATGCCAGGAAATTCATCTCCTAAAAAAGACATATGAAATGCAATTAAAAAAAAAAATGCATAAAACATTGGATCAAAGTTTAAATTTCTTTCCAGATGATAATTCCAGCACTTCATATGAAATGGATGAAGTAAAATTCCTGGTAAAATGTTTCTGGCCATTTTTTTCTTTTGTTAGATTAGTTTCAGTATTCTTATTAATTTTGTTTAAACTTCAATCCACTGATTTTAATAGAGTAACTAGAATTAAATGTAAAATTTTAAAGAACAAATTTTAAAGAACAAATTTTAAAGAACAAATTTTAAAGAACAAATTTTAAAGAACAAATTTTAAAGAACAAATTTTAAAGAACAAATTTTAAAGAACAAATTTTAAAGAACAAATTTTAAAGAACAAATTTTAAAGAACAAATTTTAAAGAACAAATTTTAAAGAACAAATTTTAAAGAACAAATTTTAAAGAACAAATTTTTAAAGAACAAATTTTAAAGAACAAATTTTAAAGAACAAATTTTAAAGAACAAATTTTAAAGAACAAATTTTAAAGAACAAATTTTAAAGAACAAATTAAAAAAAAAAAAATTCTTGGAATTCAAGTTGAATACTGACCAAATAAATTAACAAAATCAATAATGAAATTTACCTTGCACATTTTCTACAATGTCTAATATAACTTTGGTTGTTTTTTCTATCCAGTCAATCTGGAAAATAAAATATCTGGGATGACACAGATTTATGCTTGGAACATTGAGTAAAGAAAAATTTATAAAATAACCACAATAAATATTAATAAAGAAATCCAAATATCAATTTAAGTCATGGAAAAGAAATTACTCAAATGCTATTGATTATACAAGTGATGTTGTGGCTTAAACAACAACAATTTCATGTAAAATTATGCAAATTCTACTGTAAAAGAATGGAAAAAAATATTAAAATATTGATCAACAATTTTGTTAAACTTGTCACATTACAAAACACATGGTAAAAAAAAAAAAAAAAAAAAATTGCTAAAAAATTTTCTGTCCATTTCACAAAATCTGACAAAATGACTAAACAAAATTTTTTTTTTTATAGGCTTCTTGGATAGACCAAGAACTTTTCAGCACCCCCTCGTAATTGCTAATATTTGATGGCAATCTTACCTAAATATACAAATCAAAATATTAAATCCGAGTTCTATGGTTCATCATCAATTGTAGATAAGGATCCAAATAAACTTTTACTTACGACTATCAATCGACTGCATTGATAATGAGGTCCACCAAATGGATTGTCAAGGTAGACAACTTTGGTTCCATCTGGACTGAATACTGGAGAACGTACAGCTCTGTCTTCACCACCAAAACCTGCAGGAGAAAATCGTTAAAGTCTCTTTTCCAGTTGCTGTCATCTACTGGGTCTGGGGGCAGGTGGTTGTGTTGCAGATGTTTGGGTTTTTTTTTTAAGCAATTGATTTTAAAACAATTTATCAAATTATTGATCTAAAGATACTTGATGTCACATTTCATTATTTTAACAATGTGTTTTCAGAACATTTTGAATGCAAATATATAAATTTGAAACTTACTGCAACAAATTAGAGGCAGAGAAGGGTTTTATATTTGGTAGGATTCAAAGTGATATTTTTCTTAGGTATTTTTTAGAGATAAAGTGACAAAATTTGGTCAAATAAAATTCAAGTCACAAATAAAATAAAAAGTCATAAATAAAATAATTTTTTTTCATAATCTCCAAAGTTTTGTCCTCACCACCAGAAATATTGTTGGTGCAAAAATGTGATGGAATAGAGGTAAAGTCAGTGGGCAGCATTACAAAAAGTTGAAAACTTATCAATGTATCAGGAAGTCAAATGCATTTGGTATGAAAAACTGATTGTTTCAATTTCTTTTTCCTTTCCTCTCAGAATTTGCTGCATCATTCTCTATCTGAAATCCTTAGAAGTTTTGAAGAATTTGATTAATAAATCCTACCTATGATATCACAGATTACATAAACAGAAAGTTAAAAATCTAAAAGTCAATCAGAAAAAAAACATAAAAAAAAGTAGATAAATTAATAAGACACTCACATTTGACATCTTCACCAGTTGTTTGGGCAAAGTACAATTGACTCCTGGAAAACAGAATTAAAATCTTTCTTAATAATAACAATAAAAATAATAATCACAAAATATATTCAAATATATTTTTCTTCAATATTTTTAGGTGTGATATGAATAAAGTACTTACCTCCTATTAAAAAAAAAAAAAAAAAAAAAATCTTTCTTTTTTATCGTTATTTCAATCTTAATTTCTATTGATTATTAATAAAAACAAATTGGTCATCTTGTTACTTAGCAACAAAATACTTAAATTTCAAAAGACAGATAAATAAAAAAACTTAGATTTTCTTAAAAGGAAACTTAAATATAAGAAATAAATAATATCCTTTTTAATTTCTCTTAGTTTAATTTCCTAGAGAGACCAAAACATTTTAAAATCTACTCATAGCATTAAATAATTGAGTGAACTTTAAGAAACTTTCTAAAATAAAAATGTTAAAGTAAAACCATTTTCTCTGGATCCCTTCAATAATATTTTGAAAACCCCCTATGAACTTTTATTTTATGAATCAAAAGTTTAGGAATTTAAATTTCTTTTTCATGAAAACTTGTTTTAAAAAAAAAAAAAAAAAAAGGAAAGTCTAATTAACTTCATCCTTTTTTTGTTTTGTTTTGTTTTGTTTTTTTTTGCCTAAAAGCATTCACCTAAGTCAAGCTTATGTTGCTCAAAAGAAAAATCTTTTTGTAATATAACTATTTAGAAAGCATTCTTTAGGTTGGTCAAGGCTAATTTTTGCAGTTTGATTTTAAAATTGAACATTGATACATTGAAGCATGAGAAATTAATAAAACTCCTGGCATACAAAAACTGAAATGAAAGTCTTAGACATGCAAATGTACACACAAGTACACAGATATTAAAAAAAAAAATATATTGATATGAGAGAGATCATTCACCAACATGTAAGTAAAATATGGCAAGTTCCAGTCTGTGGAATTACAAGTAGTTTTAATTGTATTTTTATGAACAGCTTTAGGAAAAAAATATATGTATAGATTTTTCTAAGCTTACTTTTAAAAATTTAAATTTTGGTCCATTACTCTGTGTGTGTGTGTGTGTGTGTGTGTGTACACACACATACACACAAGGAGTTGCTGAAAATTCTCAGCCTAATCAAGCAACTCTTAAAAGAGAAGAAAAAAAGAAAAAATGGAATTGATTTCACTTTCTTTTAATTCCTTAACATTTGGAATCCATACTGAAAATTTATTATTTTGTTTTTTTTTTAAAATCTGATGAATTAAATCTTATGATTAAAAAGTCCAAGATATGCAGGTAGGGGTTTTTCCTTAATAATACCATTTTTGTGGCATGGTTCAGAAGTATTCAAATCTCCAACACGGTTCAGATGACAAAATCCACATCCTTTGACAATCTATTATTGTTAAATTTAAAAATTCTCATAGAATAAACATCTACATACACTGAAGTAAAAATAACTGATGGTTAGATAACTCAATGGATTTTACAAGTACATAATATGAAGATAAAAATTATTCTTACATATTTCCTGCCCATTTTACTTATTCAAGTACCCAGAAAATCTGTGTTACGTTCAAGAAAATTCTATATGAAGGACAAATCCAGAGACAGATTTGAGGAAAAAAAAACTTTAAATATTTTTCCATTACTATTATTATTGCTTTTGTAACTCTTTACTTAAAATATTTACCAAACTGAGATTAATTTGGCTCAAGGCCACTATAATGGAGGCAGGTGAAAATTAAACTAACTCCACTGGCAATAGTATATATCTGCTTACTAATTGTTAGCTCAATAACAGGTGCTCCAGACAATGAAAGAAGCAAATTGTGATGTATCAATCTTTCAAGTTTGCAGCTAAAATCATAGCTTTTTACCAGAATTCAAAACAACCATTTTGCTGGGAAATTATTCATCTATCTCAACTATCAAGCAGGCTTTTGCTAATTCATTCGATCTGGAGATGAATTATTCACTTTTCCATACAAACATTGTTCATATCTTATATTGAAAAAGTAATTTGCCTATCATACAAAGAAATTCAATTGTAAAAACTGTTCTAATGAAGATTTAAGATGTAAAAAATGGCAACCATTTGTATGAAATTTGAAGTTGCAAATTAATAATCATGTTGTAAGTTTAAAGCTTAAAATAGATTGTAAGGTTGCCTTGATGGATGTCTAATAACTTCAGAGCTTGCAAAAAGTAAAACAATACAGAAAATTGCACATGTATCTGTAAAATCTATTGAAGATATTCATTGTATATTTGGTAAGGACAAGTTGAAGATTTAATCTCCCTAAATTCTTTGTTAAGCTATGAAATTTAAATGAGCCACATAACAAAACTTATTCAAATTCTGATGAATAGAGCATGCAGCAGAATCAGACTAGAACAGTGTGATTTTGTTAATGACACTGGAACAGAGAATGTGATATACATGCTCAGAATGATATCAGAAAGAGCAATATAAATGCAGAAGGATGTCTACTTATGCTTTATAGATTAGTTAAAAGCATTTGAGAGAGTGAGTCAAAGAACTGTTGGAACTGCTAGGTAAGTATAATATATTTCGGAAGGATATTAAATAATCCAGAACCTATATTGAGAGCAAACTGTATGTATATGGATAGAAGATGAATTCAGTTAATATACAAAAATAGAGGTGTAAGACAAGGATGTGTCTTTTCACCAGACTTATTCAACCTATACAGTAAAGAGATTCTGAAAGAATTGAAGTCTTACCAGGATTCATTATTGGTTGTCACAATCTTAATAGATATGCAACTGACACAGTGTTGATAGTAGACACAGAAAAGCAAAGACAGGAACTCCTACAGGGGGTAGTAAAAGAAAGGACTAAAGAAGAGGGATTCTATGGTTATCAACAAAAATAAGAGCCCAACATACAAATTGGAGATACCAAAAGCAAAAGTACAACAATTTGAATATTTAGGAAGTGTTTTAACAGAGGGAAGAAAATGTAACACCAGTAGGATATATGAAAGTTGCCTTCCTAATGAAATTTTTTTAGAAAAGGCCATTGAACTTTTATGCAATATCAGTGCTGCTACATGGCAGTAAATGCTGGACAATCTCAGAGGGGGAACAAAATTCTGTATTGTAATGTCAATTAATGCTCATTGTAGTAGAGACTTTGTAATTGCAGATACAACTATAGTATGCCGTTGAACAATGCTAGTATCAGACACCTTCAAATAACACTCGCTCTAATAGTACTTGCTTGATAATACTTGCTTCGAATGGTAATCTGTATGGAGAATAGTGTAGAGAAGAGAGTAGCGATCCATATAGTAATAGAGGATAGAATAGAAATAGTGATCAATCTAGAATTCAATAATGTGATCACCTGTTTTGCTCACTAGCAATCTATATTCAAACACAAGTCAGTGATACTTTATTCCTATATAACACAATCATAGCCAGAACAAAGAGGAGTGAAGCCTATTCCTGCAGATATAGAAAGACAATGTGAGGATGCAAAAGTGGTGCAGTGTGGGCTCGTCGGAGATAGTCCAAAGTAAGAGTGGCATACAGCAACGAGGCCCCACAATTAAACCAATTGATATTTTTAGCCAGGTAGCTCGTTTATTTTTCTTGCCAGATTTTAGCAAAAATGTTCAATAAGTACTTACTTTCGAATTGGGCAATATGTCAAGCCAAGCCTCCAGGGTTCATGACACCAGCCAACCATCAATAAACCAGTTTCATCTGGAGCCCACCGTATCTAGTTATATAAAAATAGGATATAAAAATATAGGAAAAGATTGTATACACAAAAGTAAAATTTCTAAAAAAGTGATTTGTATAAATTATCAAAATAATATAGGAAGAAGAGTTTATAAACAGACAGATAAATTCTACAAATAAATCTGTCTGTTAATCAATTTATGAATTCACTACCATCAAAATGAATAAACATTTATAGATATTTAGCTAATTTTCCTTCATCAAAAATTGTT